CATCTTCCACTACTCTCCCAGTCTGTAAGCAGGAAGCTGGATCGGCAAAGGAGCAGCCAGAACTTAAGCCCATATGGGATGCTGGTGCCAAATGTGCAAGCTCAGCCTACTATGCCGCCACCTGGCCCCTGTAGTGACTGAGTTTTACCCTGACAGCATTGTCTTAGCTGTGTTACAGGAGTTACACAAGCCAGTTGTGGGGAGATGGGCTGCTGGGTCCAACAATCCTCAGAGAAGACACTACTATTCTAGCATCAGCTTTTAAGGGAACGACAAGTGAGGCAAAGTAGACAGATAATATGCTAGAAGGTAAGAGCTTCGAGGGACAGAAACAATGCAGTCCAAGAGTACACAGATTATTCGGAGAAAGATGAGCTTTCCAGGGAGGGCCTGAGCTGAGAGACAGGAAGCCACAGTTAACAGAACAAACGTCTTACTACATGTCCATCTTGCCAGCCATCATCCTCCCCAAACCAAGATTTCCTGATACCTTTTCTTTATTGCCAAAATAAGGATTCTTTAAAAAATATATATATATATGTATATATATCTATGCAATACTACCAACAGTTTCTCAGCTGATTCCTAACTACTTACATGACATCGTTAGCCCGAGAGAATAAAAATCATTCTCACTGAGCAATTCTGTGGGACAGCCTGAAGACTACTTCCCCTCCCGCTCGCTTTGCAGACACTATGTTGCCATAGCAATGTCCCCAAAGGAAACCTGCTCATCTTATTTCGGGTTTCCCTTTCCTTTTGGAAATTGCTGTACCTCACAAGGTCCTGACACCATCCCCTGCAGGTGAATCAAAGGCTTGGTTCTAAGGCAGAACTTTTTTTTTAAATGAGTTAATATGACATCACTGTCCCATGTCCTCAAGGACGATAAGTCTCCTATGGAATGCCAATTGCTGAAGACATTTTGGAAGTCCTTACTTAGAGAACACAGCAATAAATCCACATTTACACGGCCACAGTTACGGGAATGATCTGGAGCCTCCACTGATGGGCCCCCTCCCCTCCGCTCCGCTCTAACTCTCCCAGTCACTACATCCCCAAAATGCTTTCTCTCACTACTCATTTGGGACAGCATATTTGCATAAGGAAGAATTATCTACAGAATAAGGGGTGGGGAATGGAGAGACCACAGTATCCTTAGGCAATGAAGCCCAAATTAGCCAAGCCGAAGCAAGCAGCAACAGAAAACGATAACCAAAAACAGGTTTAAGCCCTTCACTTTCTTTTATTTAAAAATTTCAAACTTCACAGGTATAAACTATTTTACAACCTATTAGCTCACCTATGTGGTATTTTGGGTGTTTTGTCAGCTCCAGTGTTTGGTCACTGTGCAACCTGGGCAAGTAACATTATTTCTCTGAATTTCATTTTCTCTCATAAAATCTAGTTGACATATCACCTCTATTTACTGCTCAGGGTTCTTCTGAGGAAAAAAATATATTTTGTCAAAAACTACAGGGAAAAGAATTTTTAAAACTACAGGGGCACAGGCAGCAGGTAAAACCACAGCCTGCGACACTAACGCCCCGCACAGGTGGTGGCTGGAGTCCCAGCTGCTCCCCTACTAACTCAGCTCCCTGCCAAAGTGCCTAGGAAAGCAGCAGACAGCCCCAGTGTTGGGGGGCTCTGCACCCCCAAGGGAGACCTGGATGGAGTGCCAGGCTTCCAGGCCATCCAAAGCCATTGCAGCTATTTGAGGAAGGGACCAGTGGAATAACAAATATGAATGATTTTAGTGCACTTATTAAGAAAGTTGATAAAAATAAACACTGGTATTCTATCTCATCCACATGAGCCGTGGATTCAGGCCCTTAGTTTTCTCCTTACTGATTCTGTTCTGTTGGCTTCTCGTGGCATCTTTGCCAAAACAAGAATAAGCATTTGGTATGTACATACACAGTACGCATGACATGCTAATGCACACACACACATCTTACTTTTTTCTTTCTTTTTCCCATAGAAGGCACTTTCTAAATTTTATTATTATTCTATTATTTTATTTTTTACTGGACTTAAATTAGAGGTAAGGAATATAGGAATGCATTGAGCAGAAGGCTCACAAAACCTATGACATGAAACCATCAACACGGACTCCAGATTCCATGAGATGAGCAGATCCAGTGTGTAGCAATCCTAGGATTAAGAAATGAGTGAAAAACTGAGCCAATCTAAGACGTTCTACATCTCAATCTTGCCCACTTCACATCCCACTGTGTCTTGCTTGTTGCCTCTTCCCTTAGCAAACGTGATTAGGAAAGGGCCTTAAGAGGGGAAAGCACAGAATCTCCTCTCTAAACCCCCGAGGTGGGAATGGGCTCTTAATCGAGCATAAAGATACTCCTGTTCCACATCGGAGTACCTGGGTTCGATTCCTGGGCTTGGTTCCTGACTCCATCTTCCTGGAAATACAGACCCTGGCCCAATTATGTGGAAGACCTGAGCAGAGTTCCCAGCTTCCAGCTTCAGCAGCCCCAGCTGTAGTAGGTTCTGAGGCAGTTGCTTGGTGAATGTGAGCTCTCCCTTCTCTATTTCTGTTCTCCCCTCAAAATAAATAAATGAATAAATAAAAGGGTTTTGGCATTGCATCCCGCATGGGCACTGCTTCTAGTCCCAGATGCTCTGCTCCCAATCCGGTTCCCTGACTTCTGCTGCCATTGTGGCCACTCAAGGAGTGAGCCAGCAGATGGGGGATCCCTATCCCTCTGGCTTTTGAATAAGTAAATCTTTGAGAGTAAATCTTTTGTGTGTGTGTGTTGTGTTGTGTAAGAGGCTGTCCCACTTACAGAATCTTTTCATCCTGTTACCTGAAATTGACCATAATAAAAAGCAAAATCATCACATCTCTTTGGGTCACAAAACAAAAGAGTTAATACACTTTACACTTGAACTGACCATGAAAAGTTTGTTTTATTCCATGAAAATATTCTCAACAGAGAAGACTATCTTAAACAAAGCATTTCCCATTAAGAAATCAACATGTGCACAAAGAGTAAAAATCACTGAAAAATTAAAGATTTCTTCTGGATGACCACATATTCAAAATTTAAGAATGATTTAGCAATGGTTTAAACTGAACAAGTACAAATGTCTTTGCTATTGTAATCACCCATTTACAGGTTGCACTATTCCATGTAAAGGAACTTGCCTCCTACGGAAGCCAATCCTACTTTTAGAAAAACAAACAGTAGCTTGAAAAGAACAGTTAGTCCTTACAAGAGGGAGAGACAGAGAGAAAGAGAGAGAGAGAGAGGAGTAAAACAAAACAACCCCAGATAATTTCCATTTTCAGTACCCAGATGAGTCATTCCTATCCAGCTTGGCTGTTCTACTGAGATCCGTGAGAACAGTACTAGAGGTACAGTCTTACCTTTTCTTTACAAAGTCACAGGTAACAGGATTCACTACAAAAAAATTAGACAAAAATTAGATTCAACAGGAACGAATGCTATGGTAAAGAAAGCATCACAAATCAAAAGAAGCATGAGCTAGAAAAACAACTCTTTGGGGAACTAGACAATTGCACACAAAAATAAATTACTAATAAATTACAGAGTTAGTTCTAAGAGGAAAAGAAAAAAAAAGCTCTCTAAATTTTAACCTTCTAGGATTAAAAGTAACAAAGATAACAGAGGGCATTACAAATAGATTAAAATATCTAACACCTAAATTCAGAGTATGGTTGACATCAAATGAGAAAAGTTTTTAATAGTTTTATTATTCAACAAGTATTAAAGCATAGATTAATAAGAAAAGCACTGGAGTAGAAATCAATAACTCAAAAGACACAGATAGGAACTGAATTCGTATAAACACAAGAAAAATTTCAAACTTGCTACTAAGAATGAGATATTCGAGCCATCAAATTCTGAGATGTCTGTGCAGTGATAACTGTGATAAGCAGCTTAGGGCTTGATGGTAAAAGTTTACATTAGTCACTTTCTGAAAAATAATTTGGTAGTCTGAGTCAGTGACATTAATATTCTTTCAACCAAATTTTATTTCTAGAATTTACCATACGGGAACAATTCCAAGTGTGGGCAAAGATTTATGTACAAAAATGTTCACTGTGGTGTCTCAAACCGTGGGAACTGAGATTAGAAGCAATGATGAAGCAAATGAAAAAAGTCATGTCTGGAAGGTTTGCTTCTTTTAAAGTGAGGAAATGTAGGCGATCTTACAAAGACTTATTATCATAGGCCCCAGTCTCAACTTGGGAGTCTGTAATCTCATCTGAGAGTTCTGAACATTTCTACCCTCAGGAGTGTTTTGGGCAAAGAAGGGTGGGGGCACCAGATAGATCTGACTCAAACCCTAGCTTTACTTACTCGACTGTAAGCAAATTACTTCTCCGAAACCCAGTTTCCTGCTCTCAGACAGGAGGCTAAAGGTAGATCTGTGTAAGGACTAATAATAAATATACAAAGGTACTTTTTGGGAAAATGACATGAGGATAAATTTATTTTGGCGCAAAATTTGAATCCGTGTACATGAGAGATCTTGTTTAGTGAGGGGTGGACGCCTCACTAAACCTGGGAGACCTGGATGAAATTCCAAGCTCTTGGCACTGGCCTAGTCCACCCTCAGATCAACACGCATTTGGGGCACGGGTCAGTGAACAGAAAATCTCAGGCTCTCCCCTCTGCCATTGTGCCTTTCAGATAAGTAAATAAATACATCTTTTAGAAATAATTTTTTCAAGATTTATCTTATTTTTATTGGAAAGTCAGATATACAGAGACGAGATCTTCCATCCATTGATTCGTTCCCCAAGTGGTCACAATGGCTGGAGCTGTGCCAATCCAAAGAAGCCAGGAGCCAGGAGCTCTTCCATGTCTCCCACGCAGGTGCAGGGTCCCAAGGCTTTGGGCCATCCTTGACTGCTTTCCCAGGCCACAAGCAGGGAGCTGGATGAGAAGTAGAGCAGCCGGGATTAGAACCGGTACTCATATGGGATCCTGGTGAGTGCAAGGTGAGGACTTCAGCCATTAGGCTATCACACCAGGCCCAATAAATACTTTTTTTTTAAAATATTTATTTATTTATTGGAAAGTCAGATATACAGAGAGGAGGAGAAACAGAGAGGAAGATCTTCCGTCTGATGATTCACTCCCCAAGTGAGCGCAACGGCCGATGCTATGCCGATCTGAAGCCAGGATCCAGAAACTTCTTCTGGGTATCCCACACGGTGCAGGGTCCCAAAGCTTTGGGCTGTCCTCGACTGCTTTCCCAGGCCACAGGCAGGGAGCTGGATGGGAAGTGGAGCTGCCAGGATTAGAACTGGCGCCCATATGGGATCCCGGCACATTCAAGGTGAGGACTTTAGCCACTAGGCCATGCCACCGGGCCCCAATAAATACATTTTTGAAAAAGGAGTTCATAAAAAATGTCATGAAAAAAAAAAACTGGTTTCAAATATTTTGTGCACCAAAATAAACATATGTCCATCCCATTGTTCATAACCCTCTTGAAGGACCCTTATGCATGTGAGCACCCTGCATAGTCAGAATTATCAGCTACAATTTCAACGTCAGTTCCTTAAAGCGAGCATTGTGAAAACACGACAAACTCTTCAAACAACCGCTGAGTTGTAGCTTAGTCTATGCACCTTCGACCATGACCAGTCTTGGTGTCCAGGTCAGACAGCCTAATCCTGAACCAGTCCTCAAGGACCATTTATAAGCAGTAAAACACAAATAAGTGGTGGTCTCTGCTGTTGCTGTCCCTCGGAGCAGCTCTCACATGGTTGATGTTAGCCACGCCCCAAGCAGAATGACAAGTAGTGTCCAAACTTGCCTACACCTGGGGATCTTTTAGAAGGCCCAGGTGCTACGCTACATCCCCGACCAATCAACACAAGCTCCGGGGACAAGGGCCAAGCATCAGCACTCTGTGGCAGACGACAGTGCTGGTGTCAGCTAAGACCACTGACTCTGCCATCAGACTGCCTGGAACCAAGTCCGCCCCAACCTCTCAAGTTCATTTAAGCTCTTCTATTTTTCTCACAAGTAAAATCAGGTGGGGTTTTTTTTGCCTCAAAATATTTTTATGTAAAAACTAAATAATGCATATATAGCACCCTGCATAGTGCCCAAAATACAGTCAATATGTAATAAGCAGTGGCTATTATTAGTTCTTTTTTAAATGACTTATTTATTTTGATTGAAGAGGCAAAGTCCCAGAAACAACGACAGAAAGAGACTTTCCATAGCCTAGTTCAGCTTCTAATTGGCTGCAACAGCTGGAGCCAGGCCGGTCCAAACCGAGCCGAGAGCTTCTCCAGGGCAATAGTCTAGTGATTAAATCCTCACTTTGCACACGCCAGGATCCCATATGGACACCAGTTTGTGTCCTGGCTGCTCCACTTCCCATCCAGCTCCCTGCTTGTGGCCTAGGAAAGCAGTAGAGGATGGGCCAAGTTCTTGGGCCCCTGCACCCACATGGGAGACTCGGAGGAAGCTCCTGGCCCCTGGCTTTGGATCGGCTCAGTTCTGGCCATTGCAGCTACTCACCTTCTCTCTGTAAATCTGACTTTCCAATAATGAATGAATAAATAAATAAATATAATTAACTTCTTCCAGGTCCCCCACATTGGTTCAGGGGCCCCAGGACCTAAGCCACCCTCTCTGCCTTTCCAAGCCATAATAAGAGAACTGTATTGGAAGTGGAACAGCCAAGACATGAACTGGGACCCATGTAGAATCAGACCCTTCAAGCTCAAATTGAGGCTGAGATGCCATGCTGCCAGCCCCAGCTAGTAATACTTCTAAAAGTTCAGGAATTAAGAGGATGCTTTGGTGCAGGTGGTGATAACGCTGGTTACAGGTACCTGCCTCAGAGTGCCTGGGTTGGACGGCTGGCTCAGCTTCCTGTCATTGCTAACCCTGGGGGCAGGGGTGGTGACCAAGCAACTGGGTTCCAACGACCCGTAAGGGAGACTCTTGGATAAGCTCTTGGTTCCCAGATTGGACAGTCCTTTCCACTTCCCACCCCAGACAGGGTCTATTACAGGCATTTGGGGAGTGGACCAGTGGATGGAAGCATTTTTTTGTCTTTGTCTCTTTAAAGCATTTTTTTTTATTTAAAAATAAGATTCTGCTATATTTCTATGACTTAAAAAAAATGTTTCACTGTTAGGTTTGAGTAATTGTAAAGGAAGAAATTACTATGAAATGTTGGAACTGCAAAGACTGATTATTAGTGAAACACAAACCTAATCCTATGTGTGTGCTCAAGTGTACTTTCAACGGTTTCCTTTCTGTTCACACCCAGCTTTCATTTCTAAAAGGCTTTGAGGTTGCTACACACATACATCCACTGTAGTAGGAATTGCCCAAAAAATAGAAAAATAGTGAAGGCAGAAGCAAAAGGAAAAGAAAATGGGGGTGGCCCTGTGCCTGAGCAGTCCACCGGGGCAGCAGACACGAGCTGCTCCTGGCCCTGTGGTCACTCCTCATCCATGCTGTCAGCCACATGAACCCGTGCGAGCTGAAAATACTACAGAGAAAGTTCCAGAAACCGGCGTTTTCAATAATTATTACAATGAGTTGTTCCACTTGTTCTGTTTCATTCATTGTTCGCCATCTCTTCCTGCATCCAACATATAATACAGTGTTACCACAGGCCCGATCTATACAATCCTACCGAGCACCCTGGAATGCATACCTCGCCAAAGGGGGTGGGGGTGGATACTGGACTATTTTTGTGCGGGTGGAGTAAGGGTACAGGGACCTCCATCCTCATCACCATCCTCTTTCCTTCTTAGCCTCCCCTACATTACCACAGGCCAACGCGGGAACCACAGACACAGGCTGGCGGGGTTGTTAGGGTTTGGCTGGCTTCGGGGATAGCACTGGGCTCCTCCTTTCCCTGCAGTGTTCACGCCACAGGTGGCGGGGGCGGGGGGCGGGAGGCCTGGTCAGCTGGCTCCCACCTCGAGGATTGCCATCTCGACAACGCACAGGTGCAGGTTGCTGAGCAGGCTTCCGTGGCGAAGGCTTGGCTTGCCGGCGGGGCCCTGCGCAGGTGCAGGAAGCCCGGTCACAGCTGCTTTGCAGTACCCACTGGCTTCGGTTGAGGTCCTGGGCACCAGAGTGCTCCGAGTTCCCATTATCCCAACGCGAAGATCCCTAGCAGAATGCGGCCTGGGAGCGCCGGGGGCACCCAGCTGCATCAAACATCAAAACCTTAAAGAGGTGCAGACACGTAGGCAATGCCCCCCAATCAGCACAGGCTATGAATCACGACGAGACCCCTGTGCTTCCAAAGATGATCCCACCTGGCATTAATTAGGGGCCACTCACCTGCTGGGGGCTGGCAGACCCTAGGGTGGCTGAAATCTATTACTATACCCACCCCTTTTTAAAATCATTTTGTGATACAGTTCATAGGCCTTGGAATTTCCCTTACCCCCCTCAAGTTCCCTCTCCCCCACTGAGTTCCCCTATATTATAGTTCTTCATAAACAGTCCTATGACCATCATTGTGGGTATGGACAATGGCAGAGAGTCCAGCATCCTATTGTTAAGATATAGTTAACAGTTTCATTGGGAGTCCATCTTTGATCTGGAAGTAGAGATGCTGACTGTATTTCTGGATATGATAGTCTCCACCACACAGTTACCATACACCCCCTTAAATGAAAATCCACAATGCAAAATCAACAACAGGAAGAAAAATAGAAAGGTATAATGCCATGAGGTTCTCAGGAGGTTTTGATAGTTCAACAGTCCTGTACTGGTGTCGATCCCACCACTCCAATAGCGATGAAATCTCTCCAGAATCCACTGGCTGCTATGGTCCACCTTAGAGTTTCCATCTGCCCAGATATTCTCTGCCAACACTTGGTTGGAGTAATTGATCAATCTGCTCTGTCCTCCGTCCTCTGCTGTGGTACCAGGTGTCCTCTTTAGACTCCAATGTACTGCCATATCCCGCCCCACTTAGGTATTCGCTCCTGCCCACCTGTGACTCACCTATCAACTGAGAGAGGATGGTATTGTGTTCTTGTGTAACCACTCCCCTCACAAGCCCCTCTAAAAGCCCTGTGAAGCAGGGGTTCACTCTCTGGTCAGGTGCTTCTGTTGCTCTGGCACCTCGACTCTCGGCTGACGCAGGACAGGTAATCCCCTGAGCACGGTCCCTGTGTACTGCTTACATGGGACAATGGATATAATAATGTTTCTGGTTTGTGTGCTGTCAGAAGTTCCAGGAGAGGTGAGGCCTAGCAGTGATGGAATGTGGGCAGAGAAGCCAGGGAAAGGTGAATGTCTGCAGCTTTGGAAGTGTGTCTAGGTTATTCCTTGCATGTCTTTTAGGATGACTTACGTTGCTGGGGAAGATGGGATGTAGGTCTTCAGCTTAGCGGGTAATGACCACTTGTTCCTCTTGGGGTTATGTTTGGTTGGATTATGGCTGGATTACATCTGGTTGGATTATGATTGATTGGATTGCTAGGTGTACTTGTGATTTGCTATTTCTAGTGAGCCCTGTTATCGCCAAGCTTGGTTAATAAAGACTCCTTAGACATGTCTGGTGTGTTCTCACTCATAACAAGCCCTGTAGGGAGCGAATCAGCGGATGGAAGACGTCTCTTCTCTATGCCTTTCTGCCTCTCAATTTTTAAAAAATCATGCTTGGGTACTGTTGCTATGACACAGTGGGTAATAAAGTACCAGCTATGGCTCTGGCATCCCATATGGGTGCCAGATTGGGTCCTGGCTGCTCGACTTGTTCATGTGGGAAAGCGGCAGAGGATGGCCCAAGTCTTTGGGCCCCTTCACCCACATGGGAGACCTGGAAGAAGCTAATGATCCCCAGCTTCAGAACAGATCAGCTCTGACCACTGCGACCATTTTGGGGAGTGATTCAATGGATACAAGGTCTCCCTCATTCTCTCTCCTTCTTTATAACTCTGTCTTTCAAATATATCCTTTTAAAAAATAATGCTTGAGGGGCCCAGCAGCGTGGCCTAGCAGCTAAAGTCCTCGCCTTGAACACACTGGGATCCCATATGGGCGCAGGTTCCTGTCCCAGCAGCTCCACTTCCCATCCAGCTCCCTGCTTGTGGCCTGGGAAAGCAGTCAAGGACAGCCCAAAGCTTTGGGACCCTGCACCCGTGTGGGAGACTTGGAAGAAGAGGTTCCTGACTCCTGGCTTCAGATCGGCACAGCACCAGCCATTATGCTCACTTGGGGAGTGAACCATCGGATGGAAGATCTTCCTGTCTCTCCTCCTCTCTGTATATCTGACTTTGTAATAAAAATAAATAAATCTTAAAAAAAAAAAAGAACAGAAACGAATCACTCCTATGAAGACTTTCGCAGGGTAAAAATCAGTAATACTTAGTACAATCAGTCTTAGTCCCTAGACTAACAGCTACTAAAATTATTTAAAAAAAAAAAGCTTGGATTTCAAAATATTTTTGCAACAAAACAGACTGACATTTCAATTCTATTTTTTTCCCCCACAAACTTTTTGAAGTACTCCCTCTGAATGTCAGATTTAGGAGACAGGAAGTAAACTGGCAATATAACATTCAGAAGGCAGCAGCCTGGAAATACTACTAATAGCCGTGGGCATAGAGGTGACCACCTAGGAGAGAAGACTCGGGATAGAACAAGCTGGAACTCAGGAACAGGGAGGCTCTGAGTCCTGGATGCTCCACTTCCAATCCAGCTGCCTGCTAGTGGCTTTGGAAAGTAATAGAAAATTGCCCAAGTCCTTGTGTCCCTATAACCCACACAGAAGACTTGGAAGAAGTTCCTGGCTCCTAGCTTACCACTGGCCCACTTCTAGCTGTTATGGTCATTTGGGGAATGAAGCAGCAAATGGAAGAGCTTTGTCTCTGTTCTCTCTCTTTCTGCCTTTCAAATAATAAGATAAATATTTACATTTTAGGGGAGAGCCCGACATGGTAGCCTAGTGGCTAAAGTCCTTGCCTTGCATGCCCGGGATCCTGGCAGCTCCACTTCCCTTCCAGCTCCCTGCTTGTGGCCTGGGAAAGCAGTCAAGGACAGCCTTGGGACTCTGCACCCACATGTGAGACCCAGAAGAAACTCCTGGCTCCTGGTTCCTGGCTACTTGGGGAGTGAACCAGCAGATGGAAGATCTTCTTCTCTGTCTCCCCTTCACTCCGTAAATATGACTTTGCAATAAAAATAAATGTTTAAAAAATATTTAAAAATTTAAATACATATATATTAATACATGTATATATCAACAATATATACATATTAATATTATATATATATATATATATGAATAGGAAATGGATAGCTAGTGTTAGGAGCCACAGCTGGGAATCAAACCCAATTACTTTGATGCAGGATGCAGGCACCTTAGTGGCTAAGCCGAACACCTTCCTTGACCATTTCTTCATATCTAAACCTCTATCACCTTTGTAAGCCACTATCATCTCTGGCCTGGTCTACTGCAACAGCTTGATTTTAGATACTTATTTATTTGAAAGGCAGAGTTATGGAGAGAGAGAAACGGGGAAAGAGAGAGAGATCTTCCACTCACTGGTTCACTTGACCAGGGCCAGGACAGTCTGAAGGCAGGAGCCAGGAAGTCATTCCGTGTCTTTCACATAAGTCAGGGATCCAAGTACTTTCTCAGACACATTAGCAGAGAGCTGGACTGGAAGCAGAGCAGCCGGGAAGTCAGTATTACAGGCACCAGTGTCAACTTCTGCACTCATGCAACCGGCCCCTCCTGAGGAGCCTTCGCTCCACTCTGTGCTTCACCTGACTCACCGTGTGCACAGTGGCTGCAAGATATCGAAGCGAAGATGCTAGACAGATTCAGGCTATAAAACTTGTAGTACAGAGGAGAGTCTGGGAAATTACCAGCATAGAAGTCATGTAATTGATGACATCACAGAGAATACAGAAAGTTCTAGAAGCAAGTGTGAGGCCTAAGACATCAAGCATTTCAACCTAAAGATTGTCGAGAAGGATCCAACAAAAAAAACCGAGTCAGGAACAATCAATGAGCAAGGACAAGGGAGGTAGTGGTATCCCTGGCATCAGGTGAAAAAAGACTTCTGAGTACACATCACATGCTCAAGATGAGGACGCAACATGGCAGAGGGCGCTGTGACATCAAGAAAAACAGCTGGGGCTAAGGCCAAGTTTAATTTCAATGGTTCTCAAGAGGAAGGGCAAAGGAGATATACAGAGAACACATTCCAGACAATTTTGAGAACTATTTTCTCTCTAAAAAAGAGCAGAGAAATAGGGGCAGTAGCTGGAGGGGCATTATGGGAATTCTGGGAAAGGTGTTTTAATTGGGAGTAGCTGTGCACGTGTCCGTGGTCTGGGAAGGCAATGCTGCAGGAGGGACAGACCACTCTCGGGGCACAGAGCTTTAGGAAGTCAGGTGGGATGGAATGATGTACACACTGACGGAACAGCCTTTAATGGGAGCAAGGCGGCTCACCATTAACCCCACGCTAGAATGACGGACGATCTTTTCTAAGTCCCTATGTGCTGGGTGAGGCCATCAGCTAATAGTGAGGAGGGAAGAACTGCAGAAGTCTGACCTTAAACACTGAGCACGACATAGGGGACAGGCAGAAGATGAGCTGCCTCGGGAACAGCCATGATTGACAAGCAGCAGAGAGCTCACTAGAAGCCCAAGATCTTGCATTTCAACACCAGTCAGTACAGTTGTCTGGCCTTCTCGTATCATTATGTAAGCGTCACTAACCAGCCCAGAGGAGTGAGGGACAGGAGAGCAGGAGTGCTGGGGTCCAGCGCGGCACCAGTGATTCCACGGGAGGGCTGTGGGACATAAGGGAAGGACAAACAGGACAAATGGCAGCCACTCACGGAGAACAGGAGCAGGGTCCACTAGAAGGTGACACTTTGCTAAAGGGAAGACAGTGGAGGAGAGAGCTGGAAACAAAACAGATCAGGGTGTTTACAACACTCTGGAACGCACACAGCAGTTGACAAGGTGCCTAAAGTTGAGGTGGGCAGGTCACACAGGATGGAGAAGCCACGTGGACCAGCATGGGTCACTTCCATAACCCTCTATGACGTGGGTGCTGGGGAAGAGTTGAGGAGCAAATAGGGGTGAGCAGGGAAGGAGAGGGGAGGAGTCTGATTCAACACAGCCAACTCTTCTGGCAAGTTCTACAGTGAAAGAACAGAAGCAAGGTGGTGATGGTGGGAAAGGAGGAGTCTGAAGACACGGGGCCAAGGGCCATTTCATGATGTGCTGTCCTAGAGTGCACGTGTCCCCAGGACTGGCTCTCTGGAGAAACTGATGCCATGGGAGGGAGACTTAAAGGAGACATCGCAGAGACCTCTTGTCCTCAAAGGGACAAACTGAACAAAGCCAGTCGGCGGCTCTGTGCAGTCCTGGGTAGCAAAGTCAACTGCTGGCTCTACAGAGTCGGGGTGCTGCTGGGCTGTGCCAGAGTCGGGTTTTGTCAGGAGTTACACAGAGGAAAGATGTGAATGCAACGCCCACGGCAGACCCCAGAATGGAGGCTGGCTAAGGAGGGGTCAGAGAGAACACGTGACCAAGGCCAGCTGAGGGGCTGCAGGTCGGACAGGGACCAAGAGCTGTTTGCCAGCAGGCCATCCGGAAGGGGTCCCCTTGAACAAATGAGGTCACAGCAAAGCGCATTCACACCCAAGTGCTGTTACCTTGTGAATGTAGCAGGTACTGAGCACTTAGTACCTCAACTCTCTACACCTGGTCAGTGCTGTGTCCTGCAGAACCACGTGCCAGCCGCTGACCCTCACACACCCTCTTTTCCAGGGACCTGCCCGTTGGCTGAGGGAGAACCCCACGGGCTACTTAGGGGTAGAGCAGTGACTACTGCAGGGGCGAGCAGGTGCCAGGACATGAGGCACAGCCAGGGCCAGCGGGCACGCTCCAGAGACTTCTCAGGAGCAGGGCTGCCACTTCCCAAGGCCGACTTGGAAGTCACACAGAGCAGAGGTAAGTGACGGGAGTCTGGGGTCGGCACCGGGTGTAAGCGTTAAAGCCAGGGGTCCTGCACTCTCATTCGCGTCCCGGCTGCCCCACTTCCGAAGCGGCTCCCTGCTAATGCTCTGCGCGTTTGGGGCCCCTGCCACCCACGTGGGAGATGCAGGATGCAGCTCCAGACTCCTGGCTTCCGGCCTGGCCCCGACCCGGCCCATCGAGGCCCTCTCAAAGCTTTCAAATAATAATAATAATAATAAATCTAGGAAAGAATTGCGCAGTCGAAGGCCGGGCTCCGGTCTGCACCTACCGCTCACGGGGGGCAGCCGGGGCGAGGCTCTGCGGATCAGAGAGGGCGACACCAGCACCGAGCACGGCCACAGGACTTTGGGCTGGCGGGCTTCTCGGCAGGCGCGGGGCGCCGGGGGCTCGCGGCGCCGGTGGGGCGCGTGCTGGGGCTCGCAGGGCTCGGCGGGTCTGCGGGACCCGTGGGGAACGTGAGGCTCCGGGGGCTCGTCGGGCTCCTCGGCTTCCTCGGGCTCGTCCGGCTCCTCGGGCTCCTCACGTCTCTCGCGGCCCTCAGCCGGCCCGAGCTCGCCGTCGTGCTCGTGGAGCAGCCGGAGCATCAGCGGCTCCTGGAAGGCCTCCAAACTGCTGGTCATCTCTGACGGTTCCGCCCCGTCGCCCGCGCCGGTGAACCTGTCAACCCCACGAGGGCCACGAGGGCTCCGCGGCGCGCCGAATCCCGGGTTCGCTACCCGGAGCCAGGTTCCCAACGCCGTCTGCGCGCTTGAACGCTGGCGGCGGGCAGCCCGCGCCCGCCCCTGCCAGCACCTCACACGCCGCCCCGCCCCTGCCCCGCCCCCAGGCCCGCGGCCCCTCCCTAGCCCCGCCCCCAAACAGCCAGGCCCTGTCCTTCTCGCGCAGATCCTTCCCTCGCCACGCCCCCTCCCCGCCCCCAGGCCCGCGGTCACGCCCCCAAACAGCCAGGCCCTGTCCTCGCCTTCTCGTGCCACAGACCCTTCCCTAGCCACGCCCCGTCCTCCCCAGACCCCGCCCCTCGCGCAGCCGCGCTGGCCCTGAGCCAGGCTCCTTATTCAGCCTCGCCGGCTACACAGACCCCGCCCACCCCGCAAGTCCCGCCCCTAGCCACGCCCCGGATTGTGATGAGGCCCCGCCCCACCCCCTGCATGGATGCCCAGGGGACTCATACAGGTGTCCGGGGTTCCTGTGAACCCTAGGTGCTGGTGGACAGTGGGATGGGGATGAGCAAACTGTGGGGCAGAGCATGTCAGCCGAAGCTTCACTCACACGGAGACACTATCCCATTAGTGGACACACTATCCATTTAAGGAAGCCATATTTCTAAATCTTGTTAATTATCACATGTGCTTTACATACATGTATTAACATGTACTTTAGATTCAGTATACCTCCATTTTAGCCCCCCTTTTTTTTTTACTCCTTTTCTATCATTATTATTTTGTACTTTTTTTTCAAGATTTGAAAGAATTAAGAGACAGAGGTCTTCCATTCACGGATTAATTCCCCAGCAACAGCCAGGGCTGGGCCAGACCAAAGCTGGAGACAGCATCTTCTGTCTACCTTAGCAGGGAGCTGGACTGGAAGTGGAACAGCCTGGACTTGAACTGGTGCTCCTATGGGCTGCCAGAGTCCCGGCAGCTGCTCAAGCACCACAACGTGAGCCCCTAAATAAGGATGCTGAAGATGAATTCCTGCAGCAGTCAGGCCGGGTTGGTGCTCTGCCTGCTCCCTGAAGGAAAGACTGCAGCAGCAGCACTCGCTACCAAAGCACAGCAAGGAAGAACAGAAGCGGCTGGCCATGTTGCAGCTTCAATGTCACCGTCAACAGGCCGCTTGGGACATGAGTGTGCTGGACTGCCTTCAGAAACCTGCAGGAGAGACAGACAGTGGGATCCAGGTGGACGGCTGGACGTGATCTGCAGCCAACGCCCTCCGTGCTGTCACAGGCCTCACTTGCAGCGTTCCTGCAGCCAGCGGCTCAAACCCTGGCTTTCTGACGCCCCCCAATCACAGTGGGACTCAGAATCAGAATCAGACTGACGTGGGACGCTGGGGGGGGGGAGGGCTGCTGTGGCAGGGTGCTGTCAACATGCTCCTGCAGGCTGGAGGTACACACACCACGTTTCAGCACCCAGCACACGTGTGACTTCACGTATGTAACATTCCACCCTGTGTGTTAAGTGCAAACACCGAGAGGGATTGACCATTGCCACCATCTTTGCTTTTTACTATGCCACATGTTCCAAACAGTTATTTTTAAAAAGATTTATTTTTGACTGAGTTAGAGAGACAAGAGAGACTCTCCATCTACTAGCTCACTCTGCACATGAGCTGAGCCGATCCAAAGCCAGGAGCTTCTTCTGGGTCTCCCACCCAAACACATGGGCCACCCTCTGCTGCTTTCCCAGGCCATTAGCAGAGAGTTGGATGGGAACTGGAACCGCCAGGACTCGAACCAGCATCTGTATGAGACGCTGGCACTGCAGGCAGAGGTTTGATTTCTATGCCATGGTACTTGTTCTAAGTTCCAAATTTTAAAAGTAAAAATAGAACTCCTCTTTTCAAAGCTTTTTATTTTCTAAGCAAGGCAAGGCACTGTGGTTAAAAGTTATGCCTAGTGAAGAAAGCTTATGTCATATGAAAGCAACATGTCAAGAATTTCAAAAATAAATCCTTATAGGGTTCATCTGTAAAAAAATGCATATGATGGAAAACATGCATGTATTTCCAAAAGCACACGGAAAATGCACATTAAAATGTATGGATTTCAAACATTCTTGCATCAAACTAAGCTTGGATTCCATTTTGCACCAGGTTGTAAGTCATCGCATGGAACGGTGCCCCAGAACGGAGGCCTTTCCTGCAGACGCTGCTCGTGTCTGGGCAGCACTGCTTGCCATCCTCACGGTCCTTGCTCACATGTTCTTTGAGGGTTCATGAGGCTTCATGAGACGTTTACTTAAAAGTTTATTCAAGTATTTGGATATGACTTTCACGACATTGAAAAAAAAAAAAACAGCAGTGGGATGAAGGCTTTCTCACGCTTTGTTGATTTAAAAATCCCACTTCTGGGTCCAGTGTGATGGCACAATTAGCTAACCCTCCCCTTGCAAGCACCGGGATCCCCCACTGGTGCTGGTTTTTGTCCCGCTGCTCCAGTTCCTGTCCAGCTCAGCGCCCTTCTTGTGACCTGGGAAAGCAGTGGAGGATGGCCCAAAGCCTTGGGGGCCCCTGTACTGGCACCCTGCTCCCGGCTTTGGATCAGCTCAGCTCCAGCAGTTGACCTTGCTGTGCAACACAAACCAGTAGATACTTTCTCTCTGTCTCTCCTGCCTTCTGTGTCTTTCCAATAAAATAAATCTTTTTTTAAAAATCCCAATCCCCCAAAACATTATCTTATAAATATCAATGTTCAAATACTTGAACATGACTCTCAGCGTGTATGCTGTGCATGGAACAAACAGGAAGTGACTGGGTTTTGTTTTGGTTTTTGGTTTTTTTAGTATTATTGTTTCACAGTGGAGGCCTCTGGCTGCGAGGCAGATTATCATTGGTGAAGGCGGCGAGCAGCCCGTGGGCTCAGGGTGGTCACTGCGCGTCTGCGGCCAGCTGGGCGATCAGGTCCTTGGCATCCTGCATGCTGGAGGGGATCTCAGAGCCGTCCTCGGTCACCTGGGTTCCAAGTAAGAACAGCTTCCGGTCATTGCCCACCTCGGACAGTGCCAGGGCATCGTGGATGTCCGTGATGTGGTAGGCGTCCTCCAGATCCTGCATCCAGGTGGGGGTCGGCGGAAGGAGACACAAGAGGAAGACGCGGTTACTTCTTGGGGAGAAATCGTGGAATTTATTCCTCCTCCTCTTTCCCACTCTCCTTGGGCCTCCCACCTAAATGCAGAGATGCTGGAATGATGCCTCAGAGGTGGCTAGAGTGTAAATACGTGTCAGGTGTATACCAGCGATTGTGCATTGCCAAAAAAAAAAAAAATTCTGGCATGAAGCACAATCAGTACAATACTATAATTTTCCAAACACACCAGCCAATCTGTTACTAACGTCATTGTCTATTTTCTAAGATTCTTTGCTATGGCATTAAATAATTATGCTTAATTGATATTGAACCACAGAAATCTGCTTTATTGGTTGTTGGCTGTTGTTCTGTCCTGGTCCTAGTTCATATGTTGTTGACTCTAGCACTTGCCCTTGTGAATTTTTCTTTGTGAACATTGCTTCCAGTGAACAGAAATCTGAGGGCAGGTGGAGGAAGACGGAGAGCAGATTCGGAAGAGAGGGATTCCAGAAGGACCATCAGAAAGAGAGACGTGAGGGGGCGGGGGAAAGGGTAGGTGGAGGAAAACGGGATTGAGAGGCTGGACCTGCCAGCAGAGGAGCAGGGTTCGGCCTGCACAGCAAGATCAAAGTCTCCTTGGGGTCAAAACACTCTTGTTGCCTCTTATAGGCCAGGAATGATTTACACAAATGAACTCTGATATTCCCTTACAGAAACACACAGATGCTCCAGCAAAAATGTTAACAGTATCCCTTCTTTCTTTTTTTTTAAAGATTGATTTTATTTTTATTGGAAAGTCAGATATATAGAGAGAAGGAGAGGCAGAGAGGAAAATCTTGCGTAGGATGATTCACTCCCCAAGTCGCCACAATGGCTGGAGCTGAGCCAACCCAAAGCCAGAAGCCAGGAGCCTCCTCTGGGTATCCCACGTGGGTGCAGGGTCCCAGGGTTTTGGGCTATCCTCAGCTGCTTTCCCAGGCCACAAGCAGGGAGCTGGATGAGAACTGCTGCCCATATAGGATTCCGGTACGTGCAAGGTGAGGACTTTAGCTGCTAGGCTACCGCACAGGAGCAGTTTCCCTTCTAAAATTGCATTTGTAACTGGCTGTTGGTCATTTCCCTGTAAGTTTTGGTGGATTCATTATAAACCCCTGGAAATAATCCAATGTTGTGTTCCTGTTGTTCTCTTTGTTGATCTATCTCCCTGTCTCTCTCTGTAACTTTGCCTTTTCAATAAATCTCTTTAGAAATTTAAGTCTGGCATGATGGCTCAATGGCTAATCCTTCGCATTGCTAGCACCAGAATCCCATATAAGCACAAGTTTGTATCCCGGCTGCTCTACTTCCCATCCAGCTCCCTGCTTATGGCCTGGGAAAGCAGTAAAGGTCAACCCAAATCCTGGGGATCCTGCACCTACACGGGAGACTCAGAAGAAGCTCCTGGCTCCTGGCTTTAGATCAGCTAATCCTCGGCTGTTACAGCCACCTGGGAAGTGAACCAGCAGATGGAAGATCTTTTTATCTGTTTCTTCTCTCTGTAAAGCTGCCTTTCCAATATAAATAAATAAATCTTTTAAAAATGTAAATCTTTAAAAAATGTAAATCTGTTATAAAAACACAGAAACCATAAGCAAAATAAAATGATCAGACACTAGGATATTGGAAAAGATCTTTGAGAAGTACATAATTCACATAGGATTATGTTTCCAAAAGGTATGAAAGACTCTTGCAATTTAAAAAAGAAAATATAAAATACCCTGGACAGATTGTGGAAAGCTATTAACACATAATTCACAGATCAGGATCAATAACTAAAACATCTGAAACAAGATGTTGAAACTCACTGGTACTTCAGAAATTGCAAAATAGAACCATAAAAACAACTTCTGCCTCATCAGACTGGCAGAAATGGAAGTTTGACATGCCAAGTATTGAGCAGGATGTGGAGCAGCAAAAAGCATCACCTCCATGGGTGTTCAAGATCTTTAATGCATGTGTGATCTAAACTCTGATAGGTCTAAAACAAAACTGTTCCTTAAAATATCATTTTCTTCATTTACTTGGAAGGCAGAAAGAGAGCTCCTAACTCAAGAAGTTGATGGCCCAGAAGTTCTAACAAATATAAATGAAGGCATTTGGCCTCACAATAAAGGTGCGGGTGGGTTGGGATGCCAGTATCCCAGGCTGGGTTAGTGTTGGCTGCATTCCTCATTCCAGTTTCCTGCTGGCTTCCTGCTAATGTGTATTCTGGGAGGTGTAGGTGATGGTTTAAATCATCACCCATGCAAGTGACCTAGAATACGTTTCCAGTTCCCAAGTTCAGTCTGGCCCAGCCTGACCTAGCCTCAGCTTTCGGGGCACGTGGGAATGAGTCAGAGGCTGGGCTGCTGTCTGCCCTTGCCTTTCTCCCTTTGAAAAAATGTATTAGAGATACATATATCTAATTGCATATATTATATGCCTATATGTATATAGAGTGATTGAACAGACAGCATAGTATTGAATACCTAGCTGTGAAGAGCAGACATCTTTTGTATAAATAACATAACTTCTATTTGTACGGCTCTTACCTGTTTGTTTGCAAACACCACCAGAGGAAGAATGGGGTTGGCTTCAATGAGCTGGTGCAGGTACCTCTTGGCTTCTGGTAGTCGCTGGTGATCAGCTGAGTCCACCACGAAGATCAGCAGCAACCCCCTGGGCAGGTACATCTCCCAGTTGGATCGGAAAGGTTCACTACCGCCAACTATGGAGAGCAAGGAGGAAGACGACACAGAGGGCACACAGGTGCACCTGCCAAGGGGGCAGCGGGCACAGTGGGGCCACTTCTGAACATGGAGACATGTTTTGATCAGGTGCTGCCTTTCTAGAACCACCAGAGGGATGGGCGGGCAAAATGGCTCTGCCCAGGGGGTTCCAGCAGAGAGACCCTCAACACTGCAGACCCTGCCTCCCACTCCTGTTACGCACGGCAGTCCCAGAAGCCCCTGGCTGCTCAGGTAATGCAGGGTGGTTGGTTTTAATACACATTACTCTAAAATCATTTGTAAATGGAGTGAATTCATTGTTTAGCCTTACTTTCACTTCTTATTTCCCTTATCAAAATCCTAGGACTAATTTCTCCCTTTACTATTAGATTGACAATTCACATAAACCTCTGGATATTCAAGAATATTGGCATCAGAGAGAACATTCTTTTAGATTCAGTTATCACATTTTGCTGATTCTTGTCAGAAAAAAAAAAAACTTCACAGTTACTCATACTACATATCCAATGGGTGGGAGATAACAAGGTATGATCAATCATCTATTTTTTTTATTTAATATTTTTTCTTTATTAGAAATGCAAAGTTATGAGAGAAAGGAAAACACAAAAATCTTACATCTGCTGGTTCACTCCCTAATGCCTGCAATGACCAGAACTGAGCCGATCCGAAGCCAGGAGCTTCTCCAGTGTGGATGCAGGGGCCCACGCACCTGGGCCATGCTCCACTACTTTCTCAGGAGCATCAGCAGGGTATTTCACAAAAGTGGAGCAGCAGTCAGGATCTAAACCAGTGCTCATATGGGATGCCAGCACTGTAGCCAGCCATGCCACAGTGCCAACCCCCAAACCACCTCTTTTTGCACAGCCTGGGAGTGAAGGATGGCTTTCATAAGATTAGAAAAAAGGGTGGGGGGGCGTGGAGAGAGAGAAGAATTATACCTTATAACAAATGACCATTATAACAAATTTGACTTCCATGTCCACAAATGAAGCTTTGTTGGAGCCTCATTTACATGGAGTTGTATTTCTCTCCGTACTGTCTGTGGCTGCTTTCATTTTCCAGTGGTGGAGCTGCATCATCACAGCAGAGACCTGCACCTGCACAGCGGACATGAATTCTTACCCATCTCTTGAGAGAAGATGTTCTCAGATCTGTTCTAGGAACCTATCAAACCGTCATCAGTATTAACAGCAAAGGATCATTCCCTGTTGTTCCAGGCTTCATTAGATTATACAGTCTAGGAGATCTGGACACATCGGGGCTCGGCACACGTCTCTGGGCGTCACTAGCAGCTAGCCAGTATTTAATACCAGGAAAATAGCTCAAATCCTGGGAGGGAGGAGAGGAGGAGAAAAGAAGTAGTACAAATGGAAGAGGAGGAGAATGGGGAGAGGGGACCTGACCCAACTTCGAAGGACACCATAGAGCGGCCATGGCTCGAGTCACTGCATCATAGGGGCTTCTGGACATCCATCGAGTTAGAAGAGGCTGAGGCCATCTGTCATCTCGCTGACACAGGAGCACACACACTGGCCCTGCTTAGACTGCTCGTATCCTGTGGTGTGGGGAGAGGGAGGAGGCTAACGACAGACTGTTGGAGAGCAAGGGCCTTGTCCCAACCCCCTTCACATCACCACTGAGGAAACGGGGCAAAAAACAAAGCCCAGCGAGTGTAACATGCACTCTAAAAGTTTAGGAAAACCTGACCTAGCGTTGGTTTTCACAGGACCCAAGTTTGCTGCCACCACGTTTGGCTTAGTTGGGATTGTTGTGCTGTGGCCGGCTCGGCTGCCACCTGTGACGCCCACATTCCATACGAGGGTGCCTGGTTCAAGTTCCAACTATTCAGCATCCAATCCATCTCTTTTGCTGATGTGTCTGCGAGGCAGCCCAACGGACTTGGGTCTTTGCCACCTGCATGGGAGACCCAGATGGAGTTTCCTGGCTCCTGGCTTTGTAGTGGTTGCTGTGGGCATTGAAGGAATGAACCAGAAGATGGAAGGTCTCTTTCCTCTGCCTTTCAACTATATAGATCTCTTTAAAAAGTTTTAAAGAAATGTAGCTGAACAGGCCCAGCACAGTAGCCTAGTGACTAAAGTCCTCGCCCATGTGGATCCCACATGGACCCCATATGGGCACCAGTTTGTGTCCCGGCGGTTCCACTTCCCATCCAGCTCCCCGCCTGTGGTCTGAGAAAGCAGTTGAGGACGGCCTAAAGCCTTGGGACCCTGCCCCCTCGTGGGAGACCCAGAAGAGGCTCCTGGCTTCTGGATTTAGATCAGTTCACTCTGGCAGCTCTGGACATTACGGCCACTTGTGGAGTGAATAAGCAGTCTCTCCTCTCTGTATAAAAATTTTAAAAAGAAAGAGGAAGAAAGAAAGAAAGCAAAAGAAAAAGAAATGTAGCTGTCCCATGGCCAGAGAGAAAATATGCTCACTCACTCTCCAGGAACTCCATCTGGCTGCCTTCAGTGCGCATGCAGACCTTGTGGAAGCCCTCGGTGGGCGCCCTGCTGTGCTGGATCCTGTTGGAAGCCAGAGAGTGGAGGACGCTGGTCTTCCCTGCTCCGTCCAGGCCCAGCACAAGGATCTGCTTGCTCTTTTCCTGTGACACACACATGTATACTTACACTCCAATGGAGGCTCTCAGGGCCTCGTGTTCGTGGCTCCTGCTAGCATCCCGCCTTGTGGTAGAAGCCAGTCACACCCATGAAGTGTGAAGCAGAACTAAATCCTGCAGAAATGTGGTACAGGTCAAGAACAAACGGTACCGCTTGGCGCATCTTTCCTATCGTCATCTAATCCCTGCAGCTCCTGGCCAGTTTAGCAAACATGTCTATCAGTACTTACGTCATGGTCAACAGAGGCATTTTTGTAGAGTTCACTTTGTTCCATGAGTTCATGTCCATTAGAGATTGCCCCAGCCCTGAGCTTGCTGTTGGGGATCCCTGGTGCACCCATGAACCTCACAGATCTTGCATTCTTATTAACCTGACTGTCTTCACAACTGGAGTGCCAGGATATGAGACCCTGAGAAAGGTTCTCCTTTTCAATATGAGTATTATGAATGAATGCAAAAGTTAAGATGATAGAAATTGGAACATTGGAGCCCAGCATGGTGGCCTAGTGGGTAAAGTCCTTGCCTTGAACACACCAGGATCCCATATGGGCACAGGTTCTAATCCCAGCAGCTCCACTTCCCATCCTGTTCCCTGCTTGTGGCATGGGAAAGCAGTTGAGGACAGCCTAAGGCCTTAGGACCCTGCACCCGTGTGGGAGACCTGGAGGAAGTTCCTGACTCCTGGCTTCGGATCATCGCAGCACCAGCCATTGTGGCCACTTGAGGAGTAAATCATTGGATGAAAGATCTTCCTCTCTGTCTCTCCTCTCTGTACATCTGCCTTCCCAATAAAAATAAATACATCTCTAAAAAAAAAAAAAACAGAAAGAAATTGGCACATTGGTTGCAACCACCAATGAGAATATGTTTTACAATGCAATGTGAAAAGCTGATGAACTAGATCTGAACTCAGAAGTTTTCTACCAACTCGCTTAGAAAGAAGCTTCCTACCAACAAACCAGCCTTAGAAATCTTCATGGCAAATGACTGCGGAGCAGAAAGAGAAGGACTGCAGCGTTTAGAAGTGTAATCCCTAGGGTGCAAACCTTCAAAACCAATTATTTCAGAGAGACAAAGGCAGGGGTACGAGGGAAGAGAGAAAGCCCAGACGCCCACCATCGCCAGACTAGGGCACGTCAGAGCCAGGCGCCAGGAATTCAGTCTGAGTCTCACTCCCGGGTGGCAGTGACCCAGGTACTTGAGCCACACCCACTGCCAGACTCAAGGACAGGGCCGGGCACTCTGATGTGGGAGCCAGGTGTCCCAGTGGCACCTCATGCCCTCCCCTGCACCACAGGAGTCAATACCTGGGAAAACAGCCACACAGCTCCCAGGAACTTGGTTCTGCTCACAAACTGCCCACGAAGTGGTTTCTCATGCACAGAGCACACCTATAACCGTGTTTGGTTCACTGACGTGTCTGCCTGCTCTGCATGAATGGAACTTGACTGTATTTCTTGAGGGAAGTGGCCTTAAACCCCTTTAGAATGTCTATCATTCCTCTTTTTAAAAAATATCCATGTGGCGGTAGGCACCATGGGCATGGTCTACTAGGTTAAGTCTGCCTGCAGTGCTGGAATCCCAAAGAGATGCTAGTTTGTGCCCTGGCTGCTCCACTTCCAGCTCCCTGCTTATGGACTGAGAAAGCAGCAGAGAATGGCTCAACTGCTTGGGACCCTGCACCCACATGGGAGACTTGGAAGAAGTTCCTGGCTCCTGAATTCAGTCCGTTCCAGCTCTGGCCACTGCAGTCATTTGGGGAGTGAACCAGCAGATGAAACATCTGTTTCTCCGTCTCTAACAATGCTTTTCAACTAAAAATAAATACATTTTTGGAAACCTTGAAACAATTGATTGAGTTGCTTTACACAAAAATTAACAATTGGGGCTGCTGGGATTAGAACTGGTACCCATATGGGATCCCGGCTGATGCAAAGTGAGGACTTTAGCTGCTAGGCTACTGCTCCGGGTCCAGAAATAAGTCTTTATTTTTTATTAGAAAGTCAGATATACAGAGAGGAGAGACAGAGAGGAAGATCTTCTGTCCACTGATTCACTCCCCAAACAGCTGCACTGGCTGGAACTTTGCCTATCTGGGGCGTAGGTGCACACCGGGTACTTTGAGACCACGAGGTTGGAGCAGCATTCGGTAACCTGCCTTCCCGTGTAACTCAGCGCCAGACCCACTCTCCCTGTCAGCCTGCTGCACACCCTGGAGCTAAGCAAGGGATGGTTTGAGTACTTGGGTCCCTGCCACCCACGTGGGAGGCCCAGAAGGGGTTGCTGGCTCCTGCTCTGGCCCGACTCACTATTGGCAGTTGTGGGCATTTGGCGAGGGAATGGTGAGTGCAAGATTCTCTCTCTCTCTCCTTCCTTCCCTTTCTCATCAAACTTTATAAAATAAAATTGAGTGCTTTCAAGCACTATGGGCACAAAAAAAAAAAAAAATTAAAAAAAGACTGACTGCCCTATAGTCCCCCAAGCAGGGTTCCCCTCGGGCTATCCCGATACTTTGGCCATTTTAAGATGCACACCTATTTCTTCACTGGCCCCATCCATGAAATTAGAACAGGCTTCCCAACCAGAAGTCTGTGTTTTTTGTTGGCAGCATTTCCACCCCCTTTTGTGGTATCTAAAATCATGGCATCTCAGACCCCAGTTCCCGACTTCCTTTCCAGACACAGCGCAGTGTCAAAGCCCAGCCTCTCTGCGAATCCTGCGCTCACCCATGCTTTCCGGGAACCCCATCATGTTTTGTCAGAAAAAAATTCCTTAAGCAAATACGGCCCCGGGTGATTTGTGTTTTCGTCAGGGATCAAGTTGTCCGCTAATAATTCAAACTGTTCATGGCCAGAGAGCAGCTCAGAGTTAAGAACAGGCGGGAACGCCGCGGCACCAAGTCCTTCAGCCTGAGCCAAACAACCTGTGCTTTCTGTCCGTCCCCGCTGCGCTCTGCTAGTCCTAAAAAAGGACGAGCAGCACGCCAGAGCGCCCAGCACACACGCAGCAGCAGCCTGAAGGCCTCCCTGCCCGAGCCTGGCAGCGTCACCTGGGCGCCGGGCCAGGCGCTGGCCAGACAGTGACCGGCAGGGAGCTTGTTTGCGTCCCCAAGCTCACGTAGGCCCCTAAACGGGGTTAGAGGAGGCAGTGGAAGCTGAGTAGGGGCTGGGGACAAGAGCATTCGAAGCTGGCACCTCCCCTTCCATTCCCTGAGCGACCACTCCCATCCTCCCAAGACACTTGATCCTTCTTCACTCGCCTGTGACTTGGGAAGGGCCTGGGAAGCCAGGGTGCCTTTTACCTGCAGCTCTGAAGGGGTCCTCGCCAAGGCGGTATAATTCCGCTCCAGTGTCCCTCTGCCTGGTTCCTTCTCGGCCTCCGTCTCTGTCCCCGTCAAGTGCTCTTTCCTCTTTCCCTCCTCCCTGTCCTCTTCTGGGCTCTTACTTTTCACTTTTTCTTTCCCTTTCTCCTTGCCTTTCCCTCCAGTTCTCTCCTCCACCTCCTTCCTTTTCTCTTTCGCCGGCTTGGTTCTGCCCTTCTCCATCCCCACGGCCTCTGCTACCCCGACCCCGTAGCTGTGTTGCGCGCCCCCGTGCGCTGGGCCCCAGCAGGTGTGGCCCTCGCGGGGGACGCAGGGCCAGGACGACGTAGCTGTCCGCGGCGGAGAGCAGCCCCGCGCCCGCCGCTGCCATCAGTCCCGGCGCGCACAGCTGGTGGAGGTCGCTCCCGATGGCCGCTCTGGGCGCCTCGCCACCAATCACGACAACCCCGAAGCAGGGGAGGGAAGATCGGCAGAGTGCTGACGGCCTGCTAGGCGCCCAGGCTAACGGACCCAGGCCCCCCCACGCCCCGCCCCGCAGGACAGCCCGAGCTGCGGGTCGGAAAGCGTCTCCAGGCGCGGCTCTAGTTACAACGCGGCTCTCGGAGCGACTGCCTGGGCCTCTAACCTGGAAGGATGACCTCCCGCCTCTACGGGGACCGGAGGGCTGCGAACCACTGTACTCCTAAATGCTTGTTGCGGGGAGCGAGGCGAGGTGGCGCCCAGTGCCGGGGCACCCAGTGTCCCCGCACCTGATTGAGTCAAGGCCGCTGTGCCCGGCAGCTGTCCCTTGTCATTGCCACACACTGGGCTGCTTTGGGGTCCCAGACTGCACCAGGTCCAGCCCTGCCTGATACTGCCATTTGGGGCGAGAACTAAAAGATGGAAGAGCTTTCCCAAATAAAGTGAGACTAAACGTGGAAACAGAAAAGCCCCAAAGCCTCAGATATATATGTACCATGTGAGTGTCACGGCTGCTGGCAAGCCTGAGTGGTCCAGTTTGCCCCCAACAAGCCTTTTTCCCCCCTCAACACGTAAGAAGCTGAATTTCTTATCTGCTTCAAATAGCCTTGAAGCAACAGCGATTGGCCGGCAGGTTCCAGAAGGTGCAGTTGTTTTAAGTTAGCTGTTTCCAGTAATCCTGAAAATGCTGTGCTTGACAGCGTTTAAAACCACCTAGTTGCGTTTACACATGGTGTTTAGCAGGGTGTAATACAGCTTCTCTCAAGCCAATTCTACCCATTTGTGGCTTTGCTGGGAGGGGAAGGAGGTAATTTTTAAATACTATAGTAACTAGAAGGCCCTGATAAACATGCTGACACCTGTCCCTTAGTCCATGTTCACAGGTGGACTATTTCTTCCAAGCGTCACAGTGAACAGAGGTGTCCTTATTGGGTCACCCTGCCCCACCCATGCCCCACCCTCACACAAGCATGCCAAGTGTGTACCTCGCTGCTTAAAGAGCCCCTACAAAGGAGGAATTAACTAAAAAGTTCAAGTAGGTGTCTTACACTTCATCTGATTAGATTTTATTTCCACTGAGGTTTCAGTGAGGTAACAATGACCTAGTAATATCCATGGCAGCCAATTAACAATGACAAAGTGTAAATTTCACTGTTGGGCCTTGGGTCAAACATTGTATTGATGGGATCCTGCTGTTTAGCTAACCAAAAAAAAAAAAAAAAAACCACCCCCCACCCCACACACACAAAAAACCCTACACAAAATTTAATGGAGTGCTAGATAACAAAGTTATGAACAACTTTGTGACTGCATTATAATTCGGAAGGCATACGCACCTGTGACACCTAGCAGGCCGTCCCGAGAGCTCGGCCTCGAGGGTCTGAGCACGCAGGCTCTCGGCACACTAACCCAAAGGCAGGGCTTTTGGGGAGACCTTGCTAAACACTCAACCAAGAAGCCACAGATGTGTGCAGAGTCAAACACAGCAACCTTTATTGACAAGGACAGTCATCTCGTCACAGGAAACACTGGTAAGTCCCGAACGGCCTGGGCAGCCTGGACAGAGCCCTCACTGGGGCAGCTCCCGTGTGCTCAGCGTGAAGGTGGCTTGTAAACAAGGCAGCACTTAGACCACAAATCAACCGTCAAATTCTTCATTACTTTCAAAAGGGTCACGAGTGGACACAACCCTAACAGGAAAGGGAGTGGAGCAGTCTGTGAGCTCCCGACGCTGCCTGGTAGCGCTTCCCTCCAAGCGCAATGAGGTCATGTCCGTGTTCCTGAGGGGGCAGTCACACCTCGGACAGACGGTTCACCCACTTCAGCTCAGAGCGTGGGGTCTAGGAGTTAGCTTCTTGCAACACTGATGATCTTCCTTGCAGTCTTCTACGATGTTACACCAGCACGTTAACATAATCTGAAAACCCAATGGGGCACCAAGGAGCCATATGTACATACAAATGCATACGTAAAAAGGAGCTCCTATTCTAGAATCATCTGAAAGGATGTATAGCTAGGGCTAAAATGATTCCTTGTGGCCACTCGATGAAGTCAGGAACACCAATGTTTTAATAGGTCCCTCTTGAACACATGGTATTTCTAAGCAGGTACTTGGAATGCTCAGAAGATTCTCATTTCAGTCCCCTAGGACCTCCTAAGACATAATTTAAAGTGGGAACAAGTGTCTTCTGACTCTAGCTGAAATAGCTTCTGTCTGAATCATGGGAAACCATACATAATATGCCTTGTTTGTGAACCCGAAAGAGCCAATCAGCACACAGATAAAGGATGCGAAAGACACCGCAGCGGACAGACGTCAATCGTTCTCAGTCATCATCGGTGCAAACCTGGGGGTGGGGGACATCCACCGGAGGGCCAGGGGGATCTCAAAACCATGGTTTCCTGTTTGATGCCCAAGAAACGACGGCATGAAACCGCGGGGCTGGAGGGGGAGCTGGGCGCTTCCCGCCGTGTCCTTCACTGCATCCCCAGCGTCTCTGAGACCAGTGTGAAAACCCAGCGCTCTCTTCACCAGCCGCCTTTTCCGCCTTTCTTCTTTTTCTGCTGCTGCTTCTTCTTGGCTGCCGGTGCTCCCGCAGGCTTCTGGTGTCGGGGCGGGATGATGTTGCTCGTGGAGCCGGACACCGCCGCTGCACTGCCGGGTCTCGGGGAGGTGGGCGGGCTGTTCACAGGTCTACTGGCATCCCTGAAATAACCAGGCCAGGGAAGTTTTGGTCACATGCACGTTCAACCAAAGGAAATGGTAAAGCAGGTCTGGATAAGGATGCCCCTGCACACACCTAGATCCCTCCCACATACCTTCTACCTCCTCCTGTGGGTCCCCAGTGCCCGTTTTTCTTTTGAATAGAGCTTTTACTGTTTTATAAGAAGCCAATTTTTACAGGAGTGGAAAAATGTTAAATATTTAATAGTTAAATATTTTTCAGTATTTCTTCCCAGTAATATTTATCTAAACAGTTAATTGGATAACCGAGTATATTCTTTTTGCAACTAACACTCTATAAAAGTTTTAGTGCTTACAATACAATCAAAGCAGAAGTGTATTTTTCTTCTACCTAAGCATACTGCAAGCACTTGCCACAGATATGACTATGCTTGCCTGCTTAAGTGCACAAGCAGACTGCGCTAACAGAGGCAAAGGAGTGTCAGAGGCCATGGGCAAGCACGAGCAAGGGCGCCCAGCCGCGGGCGGGGACGTACAGTTCCGACGCAGCTGACGCAGTGGCTCCCTGGGTCCCCTTGCCAATCTGATCCTTCTTCTTGCCCTTCTTCCTTCCACGGTAATAAGAGCGTTCTCGCATTGGCAGCCACCTTTCTGGATCTGGGGTCACTTTGGGGTCATAGTTCTTGGGCAGTTTTCCTGGGTAACAATTAAAAAGCAGAGATGTACTCATGGTATCTTTACGGCAGTTTGTTAAACCATGGACATAGCCCTAGGAGTTAACACTGAACTGGAAGGTATCCGAGAAGTCTTCATCTGTTTCCTCTGGCGGGTAAGACGGGGGAAGGACTTCATTTTTAAGCAGGATGTGAAATTCAGAGCCCCTAAGGGAAAAATTCCACAGAGACACACTACCTAACAGTTCATGCATATCCCCAAGAGGGGAAGAGTTCTTGCTGACCAACAGACGAATCACTGCAAGAAGAGTATGCAGTTCTAATGTGAGGAAGCTGGGAGAAGTCATTCATCACGTGAAGGGACAATCAGTCCCACTGGTTACAAACGCTGAGGGGCAGGCACGCAGCTGGCTGGGCGTTAACGCTCTGCGGAGAGCCCACATCCCATGCTGGAACGCCCGAGTTTCACTCCAGACTGTCCCATGCGGGCAGAAAGGGCAGCTTAAGTGGTTCAGTCTCTGCCACCCAGGTGGACACCTGGATGGAGTTCCTGGTTTCTGACCTGGCTTGGTCTAGGCCCACATGTCTGAGGGACATTTGGGAGGGATGAAGAAGTAGACAGCTGGCTGTCAAACATGTAACACTTAAAAGTACGTGTTCAAAGATAAAAGAGACAGCATTATGCCTGAAGCTTTCTAGACAGGGTTAAACTCAAGTATTTTTAGAAAGACATTTAAGATTTTAAAAAAAGTCTTACCCTTCTTTTTCTTCTTCTTCTTTTTCAAATCTCCCTGTCTATAAAGAGAAGAAATTATCATTGTGATAAGGTGTTTATGGAGCACTAAGTATGCACAATAGAGCGAGCTGGTCCTTTAAAAGGCTTACTTATATTTATTTGAAAGGCAGAGTTAGAGAGGAGAAATGGGGAGAGATCTGTTGCACTTCTGATCCAGCTCCCTGCCTGTGGCCTGGGAAAGCAGCAGACTGCACAGAGCCTTGGGTCCCTGCACCATGTGGGGGACTCGGGAGAAGCTCCTGGCTTTGGAACAGCTCAGCTCCGGCCGTTGCAGTCATTCGGGGAGTGAGCCAGCGGACTGAAGATCTTTCTCTTTCCTTCTCTTTGTAAATCTGCCTTTCCAATGAAAAACTAAGTTTGTATTTTGACTCTTGTGAGTTGACTATTCTTTACAAAAAGCAGTAAAAATCTGGGGCAGTGGGCAAGCCACTACTTGGAATATTAAGTACCTACATTTGAGTCCGGCTCCACTACTTCCCCAGCTCCCTGCGTGGACACATCCTGGGCGGTGGCAGGTGACGGCTCCAGGGGCTGGGGCCCTGTCATCCGCGAGGGAGACCCTGGCTGTGTTCCCAGGCCCCAGCTTTGGTCTGGCCCAATACTGGCTATTGCGCTTTATGGGGGCAAGCTAGCAACCGGGAGATCTGCATTTCTACCTTTCAAAGAAAACAAACAAAATCTATTGAAGTAAAGCTTTTTTTTGGTTAATATCTATTTTTCTTGAAAAGGCAGATTTACTGCAATAAGGAGAGACCGAAAGAGCTTCCACCCTCTGGTTCACTCCCCAAGTTGCCACAATAGCCAGAGCTGAGCCGATCTGAAGTCTGGAGCCAGGAGCTTCTTCCTGGTCTCCCATGCGGGTGCAGGTCCCAAGGCTTTAGGTAGTCCTCAACTGCTCTCCCAGGCCACAAGTAGGAGCTGGATGGGACATAGAGCAGTCGGGACACAAACCGGCACCCATATGGGAACCAGATGCAAGGCAAGGATTTAGCCATCAGGCTACTGCACCAGGCCCTTAAGTAAAGCTTTTACTAATTATAATGACAATCCCCACTACCACCCTAAAAACAAAACAAAACAGAACAAACAGCCCAAAGATGTGCAAGTGTTGAAATGGGTATGAAAAACAAAGAAAACATTTCAACATCAACTCATCCGAAATTCATGGTGAAAAAAGGAATACAGGAGGAAAAACTCCTTCTGAATATACTCATTTGAAATGTTTCTATGAGAACTAGAAAAGAGCTCACTCAAAACATGAAACAGCAACAATTTCTGCCAAAGATTCACTCTGTAAAAACACTGAACTACGAAGAGTTCCTTCAGAATCTGCAGAACAACTACAGGGGCAGGCTGTGGTGTGAAAGGTTGAAGTGCAGCCTGCGGGGCCAGCATCCAAGGGGGACGCCTTTCAAGTCCTGGCTGTCCCACTTCGCATCCGGCTTCCTGCTGGTGTGTCTCAGAAAGCACCCACAGAGGAGACCCAGAAGCTCCTAGTTCCTGGCTTTGGTTGAGCCCAGGGTTTGCAGTTGTGGTCATTTAGAGAATGAACCAGTGGATGGAAGAGCTCTTTCAAATAAATAAAATCCTCAGAAACAAAGAACTACAATGCATGGTGTCTTATTTTAGTGCTGTATCTCATTTATTTATTTTAAAGATTTATTTTTATTTGAAAGATGGAGTTAGAGGAGACAGAGAGAGATCTTCCATCTGTTGGCTGCAGTGGCCAGAGCTGAGTTGATCCAAAGCCAGGAGCTGGAGCTTCTTCTGGATCTTTCACATGGGTGCAGGTGCCCTGGACCTGGTACCCAATGGGATACTGGCGCTACAGGCTGAAGGTTAGCCTCCTACAGATGCCTCACCTTTCACCTACACTTTGCAAGTTTAAATGCTCTCCCTTTAAATGACACTCCACAGCCATGACCAAAGGTTCTCTGCCAGGGTTCACACTCTGCCACCTCACCCCCTCCTGCTCCTCCCCTCCCCTCAGCCCTTCCTGCCACCTCCATGGGACAGGTGCACCCCTCCCTGCCTGGCAGCTGTGCCTTCACTGCAAGCCCTGCTTACACAGGTTTTTTCTGTTTTATTTTGTGGACAACATCCAGTATAAACTCATTCCATAGTTATATTCTAAAGAAACCAAACCAATGTGCCCAAAAGTCAGCTAAGATACAGATACCCACCGAAAATACAGTGTTAAGATTGAAAAGTTTGGGGCCTGACACAGTAGCTTACTGGTTAAATCCTTGCCCTTGCATGTGCTAGAATCCCATATGGGTGTCGGTTCTAATCCCGGCAACTCCACTTCACATCCAGCTCCCTACCTGTGGCCTGGGAAAGCAGTCAAGGATGGCCCAAAGTCTGGGGACCCTGAACCTGCATGGGAGACCCAGAACAGGCTCAGGGCTCCTGGCTTCAGATTGGCTCTACTCCAGCCATTGTGGCCACTTGGGGAGTGAAACAAGAACGAAGATCTGGGCCTGGCGCGGTGGCCTAGTGGGTAAAGTCCTTGCCCTGAATGCGCCCGGGATCCCATATGAGTACTGGTTCTAATCCCGGCAGCTCCACTTCCCATCCAGCTCCCTGCTTGTGGCCTGGGGAAGCAGTCGAGGATGGCCCAAAGCCTTGGGACCCTGCACCCGTGTGGGGGACCTGGGAGAGATTCCTGGCTCCTGACTGGCACAACTCTGGCCATTGTAGCATTTGGGGAGTGAACTAGCAGACAGAAGATCTTTCTGTGTCTCCTCTCTGTAAATCTGCCTTCCCAATACAATAAATCAATCTTTTAAAAAAACTGTATTACAAGCGTGCTCATATAATGAAGGAAGTCAATCAGCTAGAACTGAGTATTCCACCCCCTCCATGCTGTGCTCACCCTGATTCAAAAATAACCTTAAATGCTGCACCTCAGGGCTCTGCTGTGCTTTGAAGAAAGCAGTGGGGAAACAAGCAAAGTATCTGAATTTGATCTCTGAACAGTAAACAAGACTGGCTTATCTTTTCTCCAAATAAGAATAAATCGTTTGAGATTTAGTTCAGGAAAACAGAGACGCCCTAAATGTGTCTAAGTATCTTACAGGTAAAGTAGGGGACATGTAGATTAAGGGATATTATTCATAGGAAGAATGCGAAAATAATCCCCATTCCATATATAAAAACAAAACCGGAAACAAACTACTTGTACGTGCAAACACAAAGAGAAAGACTGGGAAGGATACACTGATGCCAGAGGTTCACTTTGGGCTACAGTAAGAGGAAAAGCAAGAATCAAGAAGTGGGCAAAGTCAAAAAGAAGGGAGAGCAGCGCAGGAGATCTACGCTTGGTCCCGAGCCATTTCTGGGAACGAGCTTTCATTCTTGCACGACCTAGGATGGCAGAGAATGTCACAGCGAAAGCCTCACCCTTGCTCCTTCGGCTGACTGTCTCCAGTAGCTTTGCCGCCCTTCTTCCGAACGTACGTGGCACCAGGGGAATTCTCCAGAGCCTCAACATCCACCTTGAGAGACATGCTGTCCGATGAGGGCAGGTGTTCGCTGAGACTGGGCAGGAGCAGGAGCTCAGGAACATAGCGCAAACGCCACGTCTGCTGATGCATCCACACACAGAGGAAAAAGCCCGCCTTTCAAGAGCAGACCACGCTCTTCCTTCTGTCCTGTCAGGTAGCACGTGTTCTGAAAGAAGCCACCATCTCGGCACCTGCCCCTTACAGCTCAAGGTGCTGGTGTTATGAAAGCCCCTTTCTACAACTACCACCAAACCCACCCACACAGACTCGCTCTCCGAGGCGGCTGTGACCGCTGGGGGCTGCATTTCCCACCCTACCCAGTACCAGGAACACACTCCCATCAGGTACCGCATAGGATCCAGGCTCAGCCCATGAAGACACCGAGTCCCCTGGTCAGCCGGGACTGTCTGGGATGAGCACGGGACCACAGAGTTCAAGCAGAGGAACGAAGGAGAGTCATGAACAACCACCCACCTAACAGCCACGATTTCCTTGGCTGCTGAACCTGAACTTGGAGGAATACACACTGTTGTTTCCTCCCCCTGACCCCCTTTCTGGATCAAACGCTGTATCGATCACTACATTCTCCAATGATACGGAGCATAAATTTTTACTTTGGACTTTACTAGTTAGAAGGTTTCGCTGGTTCCAAGCCCAGTGAAAACAGGAATGGGCTGAGTTCTCGTGCCCTACGGGGTAGTTGTTAACCACAACGTCGAAAGGATACGCCTTTGCTTTCTCTGGATCTACCAGGGAGTAAGCAGAAATAAGCTGTGCCAGGGTGTGAATGTCTTTTGGATTTTGTCTAAAAGAAGAAATAAGGAAGTTACTGAACAGTGTGTAAAACTGGAAGTCACACAGACAAGTAAATAAGCCCCTCAGAACTAAGAACAGCACTGAACGTGGCTGCCTGCCTCGCCCCTCTGCTTACTTCCAGAGCTGCTCCAGGTCGCTGATCGCCTCCTTCTTTCGCCCGTATTTGAGTTTGAAGTTTGCAGCTTCCCTGATCAGGGACAAATGAGCAGGAGATTTGGGCTAGTTTCAAGAAAAAGGGGAAAAAGAAAAAGGTAATTATCGAGTCAATGAAACGACACTTATGTGACCTTCAGAACGCATCAATTCGTTAAATTCCACATATGCCTGAAACGACAGGATCATTCACACACACACGGGGGGAGACAGGCTCGTACAAGTAATCCCCGAGTTATGAATGTGTAGCACACCCAGCTCTGCTAAGGCTGTCACTGGCTAGAAATGTACACCAATAACCAAACCTTAGACACTCTGCTGTAATTCTCAAACCTCACAACACTGCCCAACCGCTGAAGCCTTCCCGCCACCAACAGTGAAAACAGTGCAGATGGCACCTGGGGAGGCGTATGCCCGAGACGGACCCAGGCACTGCAGAGCCCCACACCGGATGAGGCACGATGCTCCCAGGACACAGACACAGCAACAATTATTTCATGTACTACCGTTCCAATAGCAGTAACTACCAGCCAGGGCTCCCCAGCAGGGGGAGAGGCACTCTCCCGCGTGCAATCACACACTATGAGCTCAAACACCTGTCTCCTTCACGGTCTACCTCCTTACTTACCTGATGGGTCTGATACCACTGGATAGCTTGGCTGAAGACCTCGATGGCGCTGTCAATATCTTCCTCATGGCTGTACATGGTCACTAACGCAGACACCTGCCCAGCCACAGGTAGGAAGACATGAGTAAAATTCCTCCCTCATGCCCGGCACACACTTTTTCAAAATGAAAAATATGAAGGAAATAGCAAATAAAGATGGCCAGGCTTTCTGCCAGCACCAAATCCTTCAGAATCCACTTTAGACAGTGGAAGTTTCTTCCTTAGATAACCAATCAGCAACGTTTTCCAAATACGAAGACAGTTACCAAAAAAAAGGAGGGCTGTCAGTCGAGGGGCTGGGAGGGAGGGGAGAAGGAGAAGGAGCAGTGGGAGGTAAGGACAGAAAGGAGACAGAGAGAAACAGTGAACTGAAAAACCTCTGGACAGACTGGTCAGAAAAAAGACATCCATAATATCAAGAATGAGAGAGGTCTCCAGGAACCAACAGGACATCAATTAAGGCTAGAAGGCCCCTCCGCAGGCCTGCGTTCCCCCAAGGCTGGCTTTCAGTGATAAGATCTGAACAGTGTCTGACACATCTGACAGAATATAATAATACATAAAATGGATCAATTCCTTGAGAATAAACAGAAATTCAGATGTTACACATTACAAATATTTTACTTGAGCCATACAATGGATTTGTTCCTGATATAAAATAATTGCAGCACAACACTTCAAGTATGAGTCTTCAAGGAAAGCAGCAGCACGTGCGTGTGCATGGTCCATGGGCGTCAGCTACAAGCTCGCTGTGTCCGAGAAGACACACGGCCCCTATTCCACACCACAGCATGACCTGCTTCCACATCTGCAGCGGGGACTCGAACCCAGGGATCGCATAATCAAATTTGGTACTAAGGTATTTTAGCTGAAATGGCACTGACAACATGCTAACACGAACTTGGGTTGAAGAACTGCCCACACAGGTCTGAGCATGCGAGGCTGACCGTCAATGAAACATCCTGCACACTGCCTGGCACTTCTGACAGCTGAGCACAGAGAGAAGGTAACTCTATGACGGTCTCAACTACTGTTCCTACTTTATGACTATATTGGGGTATAAGAAGAAATTAAAATACAAAGAAACATCACACATTCAAACAATCAATTGTACTACTTTTCCAGTTGTATAGTACTTTGTAAACTCACCATGCCTGGTTTATGCTTTAACTTCTCTATGCTTCTCAATATTAGACATGCTTTGGAAATATTACCTTAAGAGATTAAAAACAAAATCAGTATCAGATTAAGGAAAGTATATTATGCGGAAAAAGTACATATAAAATTTTACTTTTGCCCTCTATTCTTCCTTTGGATAATAGCCCTGAGTCATATCTTCTAATATCCCTAAACACACAAGTTGTGGGGACCAGGGCTTAGTGTCATTTATTCATTTTACAGATAAGAAAAATGGGTCCTAAAGAATACACTTTGCTTACACTCAAAAAAGGATGCTAATGGTATAACCAATACCAGCAGTTTCCAAACTTCCAGTCTATTAAGTTCTATTTCCCTTTTGTTAAGTTGGAACATGAAGTGGGGAGTTCTTCCCTAAATGCCTGGGGAAATGTTCATGTTGGACATTAGTGCAACAGAAAAATGTGTTAAAATTCTAATTTCCTGGGCCCGGCGCGGTGGCGCAGTGGTTAAGGTCCTCGCCTTGCATGCTCGGGATCCCATATGGGCGCCGGTTCTAATCCCGGCAGCCCCACTTCCCATCCAGCTCCCCACTTGTGGCCTGGGAAAGCAGTCAAGGATGGCCCAAAGCTTTGGGACCCTGCACCCTCGTGGGAGACTCGGAAGAGGCTCCTGGCTTCAGATCGGCATAGCATCGACCTTTGCGCTCACTTGGGGAGTGAATCATTGGACGGAAGATCTTCCTCTCTGTCTCTCCTCTCTGTATATCTGCCTTTCCAATAAAAATAAAATAAATCTTTAAAAAAAAAATTCTAATTTCCTGTTCACTGCAAAACTCCATAATTTAAACCTGCTGTTCTTTGCAAGCAAAATAAACAAAAACCCGTGACAGACTCTCTCTCAGTCAGTTCAGAATGGTAAGTAATCCTTGCAAAAAGAAACTAAAAACTAGGTAAAGAAAGAAGAGATGGGGGGAGCAGCGAGAAGACAGAGCAGCGAGGAGGAGGAGGAGGGCGAGGGCAGACTGGGCAGGAAGGCAAAGGGCGGCAGGGGCTTGGCAGCGTCCAGCACTGCCCACCCAGGAGACATTTTACTTTTCCCCCAAATTTCCAACATTCTCCTACCCACCCATGACATCTTCATTTCAGCTATCCCAACACTTAAAATTCTGACCAATTATCACCTCCACTGAGCATGAACGCTCCATACCACTTTCCACGACAAGCAGAGGGACACCTGTGTCTTACAGTATGGTAACCACTAGCTTAGCTTCTGCACCATGGTTAGTGCAAATAAGAAACTAAAATTTAAATTACACTCATCTTTATCAAGTTAAACCTAAATTCAATTTAAATCTAGCTACATATGGCTACTGGCCACAAAACTGGACAGCACACCTCCAGGTTCAAGGTTCATTCAAAAATGACAGACAGAGGAGCCAGCGCTGCAGCACAGTAACCCTGGCGTGCCACAGCACGGCGCCAGCTGAAGCCCTGGCTGTTTCCTTCTGATTCAGCTCCCTGCTAACGCACCTTGGAAAGCACTGGAAGATGGCCCAACTGCTTGGGCCCGTGCCACCCACAAGGGAGACAGAGGCTGAGCTCTTGGCTCCTGGCTTCAGCCAAGCCCAACTCCGGCCACGTGGAAAGTGAACTAGCAGTTGGAAGTTCTCACCTTCTCCCCTCTCTGTCTCTATCATACTGCCTTTCAAATAAACAAATCTTAAAATAACAAAAATAATGACAAACCCACAAAATCATAGACAAAATCTTAGTGATTCTATCACCAAGACTCAAGCACATCAATGATATCAGAGTCTATTATTCCTCCTCAAAGACAATGGGCAGTAACTCTAAAGGAAGGATGGATGAAAGGCTATGCTAAGAAATACTGAACAGTGAGGCTGGTGGTGTGGTAGAGTGAGTTAAGCCTCCGCACGGGAAGCTGCAATGCCACGGACGAGTAGGTGTGAGTCCTGACAGCTCATCTTCAGATCTAGCTCCCTGCCGATCGCGAGCCACTGCGACCACTAAGGGAATGAAGTCTCTGTCACATGCTCACTCTGTACCGCTGATGTTCAAATAAATAAATAAATAAATAAATAAATAAATGCATCTTCTAAAAATATTTTTAAATGATGGAAATTACTATCATTTTTAATACCTTGGGAAATTTTCAACTGTGCCATGGTCAATTTAATTTCAGCTGCGTTTTCTGGATGTTGATCTGAGAATTCCTGAAAGTATTTTTGTTGGAGGAAAAAAAACACATTAAATATATACAACTAGAAATTACTACTATATTAGCAACATAAAACTTTAAAACTAGTTTTAAAAATACTAAATTTTTGGGCCCAATACAGTACTAGCAGCTAGAGTCCTAGCCTTGAACACGCCCGGGATCCCAAGTGGTTACCGGTTCTAATCCTGGCGGCCCTGCTTCCCATCCAGCTCCCTGCTTGTGGCCTTGGAAAGCAGTCATGGACGGCCTAAGGCCTTGGGCCCCTGCACCCGCCTGGGAGACCCAGAGGAGCTCCAGGCTTCTGGCTTCAGATTGGAGCAGTACCAGCAAATGGGGTCACTTAGAGAGCAAATCATCAGATGAAGATCTTTCTCTCCGTCTCTCCTCTCTGTATATCTGACTTAACAATAAAAATGAATAAATCTTAAAAAAAAAACAACCAAAAAACCTAAACTTTTGGTTTCAGGTCAAAAGTGTAACTTCGGAAAAATTTTACTCAACACTCACTCTGCATCTTAAGTATGCTCTGAAATGACAACAATACAACTAATGAAGATCACAACCCAAGGGCGGGAGGTCTGAAGCCCACTCTTGTAACAGAGGGGCCTGGCTGTGTGTGGAGCTCTGTGCCCCCTCCCCTGTTTGCAGCAGGGATGGCTCACGCAGGTGGGTCTCTGTCACCCATGGGAGACCTGAGCTGAGTTCACAGACCTGGCTCTGGCCCGAGGGGCAGAGGGTGTGAACCAGCAAATGCCAGCTCTTTTGCTCTCCTGAATAATTCCATTTTTTAGTTAGCTAAGAATTGGTTTTATTTTTCTTCCTTGAAGACACTCTAACGGTGCATCTTACTCATGGCACCTACCAGGCCATTTTGCCTCCCAAGATGGTCCTAATCTTATCCTGTCTAAATTTTCAACATTGGCTACAGTGTGAAGTTCAAATCTGTGTTATTACAACTGGTTTGAATTGATAAAAACCAAGTTAGCATTCTTATACTTGTTTCAGGTATGGAGTGGGACCCACTGGAGATTATATGACTGAAAAGGAGGATGGAGCAATTTCTAGTTTGACAAGCCTGAAAAACAAATCCCCTAACTCATGCTGAATGCATCTCCAAATGAGAAAGTGTCCTTCATGGTCTACCAGAAATACGTTTATCTAAAAGTTGGAACCCAGGAATGAAGTAAAGTGACGCTGGACTTCGTTCTCGTGGAGGACTAGTTAGTGGCTCATCCACACATCTGTAAGCCTACAGGTCACTGTCGCATACCAAGAAGGAAACAAGGCTAAAAGGCTGCTGGGACATTTCCTGGGAGACAGGTGGCATGCTCACCTGCAGCAGTTCTATTGCCTTCCCATGCTGCTTCTCGCGGCAGAGCTGGGCGGCCTGGATCAACACGGGCAGCAGGTGCTCAGGGCTCTGCGACTGCAAGCTGGCAGATATTTTGCGGCACTGCTCTGCCTGGAAAACGGTCCCCCCAAAACAAGCTGGTTAACGAGAACAATAACTGATCCTAAAGAAGAGCTGAACAGGGAAATCAGCAGAAACAAAACAGGAAATGAAGAACTGCAGAGGCACAAGACTTGGTTCCTAGTACCTATTTTTGCATTGTGAATGTATAAAGTCCTTAGTAAAGCACAGGTACTAACAATGTCTAGGTGTCTAAAGGCCGGAATTCTGATTAAATAATAAAAAGGCAAAAACAAAAAAAGGTAAAAACACTTTCAGTGGAAACGTTTGCTATTAAAACAAAATGCTTGAAAATCTCATGCTAGAAAGTATTAGGAATAATTTAACACAGTACCAAATAACAAAGCCATTACTGTCACTCTCCCAGTAAGACAGAGGAAGAGAAAGAATCAGAATTTAATCAGAATGCATGTTAGCATTGATCTCATTAACACTAAAAAATGAACAATGGATCTTAAATTCACCTGGCATCTCTGATGATGCCACTTTCATTTAGAAAGACCTGAAATAAGGTAATGAGAAACTCGTCTCATTTAAAGGTAGGAATATTTTCTTGCTCTTACACACCATCAACCCCATATCTTTACAAAGAATTGTGTGAATAATTAAAAAGACAATATCTACATCTAACATACATGAGATTGTGAAAAAGCAAAAAGACACATACATGGGTTTTAGACAAAATATACACAAAACATACATACACTAGACTAACACAGCTATTATGTCCCCGCCATGTTACAAAAGGACCAGCCAGGAACCCACCGGCTGTCACCCACCTGGTTTGTGTACATCGCAAGTAAAGCCTTGTTGAACTCGATAGCCTGCAGTTGTTTCTTGGAAAGCTTAAACTCCACACCTTCAGCGTTGGTTAATTTCACCTTCTTCTTGGAGTCAAAGACATTCTGGTCCTGTCAAAGGAAAGCTCATGCACTGTGAATGGAATCTAATAATTCTATTTTTAAAAAATGATTTATTCCATCTTTATTGGAAGAGCAGATTTACAGAGACGAGGAGGGACGAGAGAAAAATCTTCCCTCTGTTGGTTCACTCTCCAAGTGAGAGTGGCCAGAGCTGAGCCGATCTGAAGCCAGGAGCCAGGAGCTTCTTCCAGGTCTCGCACACAGTGCACAGTCCCAAGGTTCTGGGTCATCCTCTACTGCTTTCTGAGGCCACAGCAGGGAGCTGGCTGGGAACTGGAGCAGCGGAGACATGAACTGGTACAATATGGGATCCCAGCAAGTTCAAGGCAAGGATTTAGTCACTGAGCCATCACACCAGGCCCAGACTTTGGGTCTTTTAACACTACAGGTCTTGTTTCTCTTCCAATTACTTACTTCATACAAACATAACAAGTGAGTTTGAATATGTGGTTGGGTGCCTCGCAATCAAGATGCATATAAACTTGTTTTGGGTTCCTTCTTCATTCAAATCAACAAGGTATCTACAATTCAAGTTCTACAGTGCAAGTAAGCTTTCTACACGTTGTGAAGAGATCTACCAAGCAAGCTGCTCAGAAGGAACAAAGAACAAGATTCTGGTTTTATCTCTCCATTATTCGTTGGAGCCCACTGAAGAAAAAATTTTAGAGTTGGGCCTGGCGCAGTAGCTGATTGGCTGAAGTCCTCACCTAGTATGTGCTGGGATCCCATATGGATGCCAGCTCCTGTCCCCGTGGCCCTGCTTCCCATCCAATTCCCTGCTTGTGGCCTGGGAAAGCAGTGGAGGATGGTCCAAGACCTTGAGACCCTCACCCACATAGAGTCCTGGCTCTTGGCTTCAAACCAGCTCAGCTTCAGTTGTTAGGGCCACTTGGGGAGTAAATCAGCAGATGGAAGATCTTCTCTTTCTCCCCTTCTGTCTGCTGTCTGTATATCTCAGTTTCCATTAAAAATAAATAAATCTTTTAAACAAAAATTAGAAAGAGCACAAATCTTACAGCCTATCAGGACAGACTGTACATCTAGCTTTGGACAGAATGAAACCTAGCTTTGCCCTTTTATAATTTAGATGACAAATGCTTAGTAATCTGTTCCTCTTTTTTAAAATGTAAGCAAGTCACAAAACAAATTTCAGCAATAAACACACACATGCTGCTTCTGGACCTGCATTTAGCAGGAAGTACTCACATCCTCCATCTACTGTATCTCCTTTGCTAAGGGTCTTCTCAACTAAGCCAGAATGAAACTTCTGGGTCAGCTAAACACAGTGCTGCCTGCCTCGAGCAAGCCTTACCGAGGAGCTGGGCTCTGAGCTGCCTCTGCTGCAGCTTTGTAAATCTATTTGCAAGCAGCGCTTTTTAAAATAACAAATTTACTGGCACATCAACTGTATCAAAGACTCAGATGAAGCAAAGAAAAAAAAATCTAAAACCAATTCCACTTTTTCTGCATGTGAAGCTTCAAATCTGAAACTATTTGCATGTACAGCAGAATGGTCCCCTGCATGAACCAGTGTTCAAGGCTGCTTCTCCCACGTCACACTGTTAATACTTGAATCGCCATCTGACACATTCCTAGAGTCTTCTTAAACTGTTACGACACTTTATTATACAAAACCCGAATTTTCAAGATCTTCCAAACCACCCAATATCACGTTCTTTAACTACCTGGTATATATGTAAGCTTACACATTTTTCATTTGTCTCCCACAAATTGTAAATATTTTTCCATACAAGGGCACTTTAGAAGGCTCACAGAAAAATGAGATTAAAAAAGAATTCTATTTTCTGCAAAACAATTTCTAAATTTAGGAAATTTTTCATAATACACATTTCCATGACTTTTTTGCAGACTCCCATTTGTGCATCTGCTTATGCTATTGCTTAATCTGCAAACTGCATTCTCGCTTCAACTGTCAGCTGAAACCTGCCAACTCAGAGATCTTTCCTTCACTGAAGACTCTCCCATTAAGCATTTCCCCTCATATGCATTTCCATATCATGAACAGTTGTATATATACACTGTATATACATTCCTGCCAAGATTCAAACTGTGTGAAAGGGTAAACAGTCTGTATATTTAATAAACAGTTATTCTTCATGTTATAGTAAGCTTGGAAAAGGAGACTTTAAGTTCGGAATCTCCAACTAGGGATAGGTCACGACCTGAATATCATTTATAGAATTATCATGACTATGAGCATCATACTTTCCACTGTAATTTTGCTATGACTCCTAGAAGAGAGTTGGAGAACTGGGGTGCACTGCTCTCAGCATCAACTACACATGCAGGAGATACGGTTCTTCCTCACCTTGTTGATGGTGATGATGTTATTCGCAATTACAGCCAGTAATCCCACATCTGTCGGCCTGAGAACAAGAAGCGACAGTGAAAAGCACAGAACAGTCGGAAGCCTTGTGCCCACTGTGAGCTCACCGTCCTGGCACTGGACTTACTTCAGTTTTATGATCTGGTTGTAAAGCTGCAGAGCCTCCTCCGTGCGCCCCTGCAGCTGCAGGATGTAGGCCATCTGGCCGTGGATGATGGCCAGCTCGGCTTCAGGGTCCTCCTCTGCCCCGTCCTATGGGAAGAGCAAACAGCTTTCTGCCATAACTGCTTCAGCCTGATGCACACCTACGCCAAGCGATCCAAAGATACATAATCCAAGGAAGGCCTCACTGTCTGAATTTCCCCACAGAACAGAATCGCCTTTCGGAAATTGAGGAATTGTAGCAAGAGAAAAATTTTAACTGAAAAGGGCAAAAAACTCTGGAAGAACATGGCATAAACTTGGGAACATCATTACCTTCTAATACCCCGGAATGAAAAAAATATGTAAAAAACCAAAACCAAAACCAAAAAAAACAGTACAAGGGCCAGTGTTGTGGTGCAGCAACTTAAGTTCTCTTCTGCAATGTTAGCATCCCACATCAAGGTACTAGTTCACGTCCTAGCAGCTCTGCTGGCGATCCAACTTCCTGGGTAGGGGAGCCAAAGATGGGCCAAGTACCTGGGCCCTGCCACCCGTATAGGAGACCAGGTTGGGGTTGCTGGTTCCAGGTTTCAGCCTGGCTATTGGGGCAATTTGAGGAATGAACAAGCAGTTAGAAGACCGACTAATCAATGTATCTGACTCTCCTTTCTTCTCTTTGCCACTCTTTTACAAATATGTAATTTTGAAATTTAATTATCTTTATTGGAAAGGCAGATATACAGAAAGAAGGAGAGACAGAGAGGAAGATCTTATTTCCTTTTGCTCCCTCCCCAGGTGGCTCCAACGGCCAGAGCTGAGCTGATCTGAAGCCAAGTGGTTCTTCTGGGTCTCCCACATGGGTGCAGGGTCCCAAAGCTTTGGGCCGTCCTCCACTGCCTTCCCAGAGCACAGGGAGCTAGATGGGAAGTGGAGCTGCCAGGACATGAACTGGTCCTTGCAGGGTGAGTATTTAGCCAATGAACCATCAGGCCACCCCTCCCCTGCAAAAATAAATTCAAAAATAAATACAAGTGGGCCACCTGGTCCAGCAGTGTAGTCACGGTGTCCCACCCTGCAGTGATTGCGTCCAACACACAGCTGTGGCTCCCATGTGCTGTAAACATGCACCCTGGGGAGCCAGTGATGATGGCTGAAGCAGCTGCACCCCCCACCACCTACAGCAGAGATCTGGACTGAGCTCCCAGTTTCTGAATTACACATTAAGGGCATCTGTGGATGGAATCAATGCATGGCAGCATCAGAGCACATTTTTTAAAAATTCCTTTAATCCTACCATTACCTCTGAAGATTTCAAAATTCAGGCCAGGGTTACAGTGAAGCGGGCTGTCACTGCGAAACTAGCATCCCCTGAGTGTCAGTTCAAGTCCTGGCTGCTCTGCTCTGCGACTCTGCTCCCTGCTCATGCACCTGGGAGACATCGGGAGGCCACCCAGACCTGAGCCCCTGCCACCCATGTGGGAGACCACATGGAGTTCTAGACTCCTGGCTTTGGCCTCATCCAGCCCTGGCCTTTGAGTTATTTGCAGAACGAACCAAGGAATACAAGTTCTCCTTTTCTCCCTAATTCTGCCTTTCAAATATCCACATTCTCCATTCCTTCTCTAAAATCTGAAGGCTGGGTCCCAAACTGAGCAGCCAGGACTTGAACTACCTCCTTCATGTGAGATGCTGGTGAACCATGGCCCAATTGAGCAGGTGCTGCAGGTGGAGGTTTACCCCACTCCGCCACGGTGCTGGTCCTCCAGCCTTACTTCTGATGCTAGCTTCCTGCTAATGTGCACCTGGAAGCAGCAGGCGATGGCTCAAGGACCTGGGCCCCAATCACCCACATGGGAGACTCACACTGTGTGCCTATCTCCTGCCTCTGGCCTTACCCAGCACAGGACTGCTGCCGTTCAGGGAACACAGCTCTATTTTCAAATAAAATCGAAGTAAACAATTTCACTTTAAAAATTGTGCTTCCTAACAGTGGAATACTTACAGCGTCTTCTGAAAATGAATGGCGGCAAAGATCTACAAGAACAAAATTGTTCCAACATTAGTATTGCTGGGTAGCTCTTATTTGTTTTACTAATACATAGAGTAAGAACTAAACTCTTGAGCAGAATATTTCAAAATAATTTAAAAATAAGTCAATATCAAATTTACATCAACATTAAATATATTACACAAATACTATTATTGGTCCCTGATTATTGTAGCACTTTGGCCTTTTTCTTTAATTAGTACTCTCTATACTAAAAACAAAACAAAAGATTAGAAAGGGCATTTCATTTAAAACAAATAAGTACAATAAATGTTGATCACTAAAAGTCAGTTATAGAAAAGTACAAAAACAAAGATAGACACTCCTACCTCCAGAGACAGACAGCTAGCATGTCATTTTTTTAAAAAGGAATATAAATGGACAGCTGCGTTCTGCAAAGCTGCAGTTTGAATACTGTTCTGAAACTACTCAAGATTCTAATTTACTGTGAACATTTTCATCACAGTAAATACGTATCTATTTTTACACTATTGGCTTTAATGACTACATGGTAATGTACTTTATGATTATAGTAAAATACTGAATTCTTTCACAGTACAGAAATTAACACTGTCCTATATTTTTGTCCTTATAAATGTCCCTTCAATTAACATTTATAACGATAAAACATGAATTATCTGATTAATATATCTAAGCGGTTTATTTCTGGAAATGTGTCAGAATTTAAAATCTGCTCCACATCATGCAACTGCCCAGTGCAAAGTCTGTGCTGCAACTCAAAGCTGCCGCATGGGACAAGGTCCGTGTTGTACTCGCTCAACACGGGTGACGAGGACAAGGACGAGGCCCAGGACACACACCAGGAGCCTGCTGCCTGTTCAGCAGCAACTGCTAAGTACCACACCTCCGAAACACCTCCGCTACACGCAGCAGTGTATGTGCCATTGTAACTCATTTTACACTTACACTTGTTCAAAAGCCTATGTCTCAAAATTCAAACTTTAATATCTAGTGCAGAACACGGATAGATGTACCGGCTTAAAGATTAGAAGGACAGAAGACAGTCAAAAGGAGAAGACCAGGTAAACTCTGAGAAGGCCCCACAATCTTCCGCAACTTCCACAAAACTCAAACACAATGTTTCAAGATATTCTGCAAACACCACATCCACAGGGGATTTTAACCAAGTTCGCACCTTCAGCTTTCTGGAGGATTTTCATCGCCTGGTTGAGCTGGCCCTGGCCGATGAGCGCACACGCGGCGTTGTAGCATAGCTCGTGTGTGCCTTCCTGGAGGCCCAAGTTCTCCTGCCAGGAAGGGACAGACCAGTCAAACCCCAGGCCGAGACGTGGCTGGACAGCGCGGTGCAGTGCACCAGGGACGCGGAAAGGCACTCACCGGGACCACCTTCTCCCAGTTGCTCTGAGCCGCAACAACTGCTGACAGGTTTGTCTTCCTCTCCTCGTCATAGTCATCTTGCGAGTTTCGGACCAGGTCTCTGTACACGGCCAAGCACTCATCGTAGCGTTCCAGGCGATATAACTGCAGGACAGACAGCAGGCGAACGTCAACAGAGTCACGTCTGCAGCATCGCACAACCTGCTCCGAATTGCCAACTAGAAAAACCAATTCAGCATAACAGAGGCAAACCACCATTTGCCTTTTATAAATTTTAAGTGAGTTTTGTGAGCTAATAATATTTTGAGAAAGTTACTTGCAGTCAACCATCACTGTACTGCAGATCTGGAGGCATTATTCAGTTTAGAAAAATCTTTTTCACCTTTCACTGGAAGTCAGGAACTGAACACTTGTGAAATGAGACCTTTCTAAAGAAATCAACCAGTTACCCACATCTGAAATCAATGAAAAATAATTCCCACAACATAACATTATTACAGGTCCAGTAAACAGTAACAAAACGCAATGCTAATAAAAGCATTTAATGCTGTCATTTGTGTACCAGATACACTTTCTTCCTCTTTTTCAGAAGCCAGCTGCTGCACAGCTCCACGGCGTAATCCCTGCTTCTAACTCCAGCTTTCTCCAAGAGCCGTTAGCAACTGCCACGCTGGGTGCCACGCACAGCCATGGTGGGCTCTCGTCAGTGCCCAAGCTGCACTGCCCCTGAGGCTTACCCGGTTTACCCTAAAAGCTCTTTACACAGCCACAATTCCTGAATGGGTCCAGGTCTTTCCTAAGAACATCTGCACTGTTAAGTGCACATCTATTCTAAGGGACAACAATATTATCTGCTTTTCTAATTTTTCAGATTTAAAAATCTTCTAGTAGGGTTTTGCTAGCTGCAACATTCCTCTCTACTTTCTTATATTAATGTTATGCCTCAGTATCTTTTTAGAATATTTTTGTGATTACACAGGCTAAAATCATCCACACTCAAACCCACATGATTCTCTTTAAATGTAAATTTTAAGTAAAGTAACCGGAAGAGTTACTTGTTCAAATCTGTGTAAGTATATAAACTCGCTGGTCTTCTAGCTAAGAAGTTCAACTTGCACATGCGCTTCCTTTGTTCTGAGCTTCTCATTCTCCTGAGATGTCTATGGTTCACAGACACTCCATTGTGCAACCGCTGGCGTAAAAGAATAGGGAACATGCTCAAACCTCCAGAATCGGTTTGGTGGCCAGCTCTGTGGGGCCCCAGATGGGCCAGGTTTCCTCAGCTCCGCTCTCCCAGAGGCTCCCGCGGGGGGCGCGTCCACAGCTGGGGGGCAGGACTCACCACTTGCCCGTACAGCTCCTTCAGCTTGTCGGTCTGCTGCTGGGCACCCTCTATGGTCTTCAGCGCATTCTCAATGCGGTGTAGCCTGTACTCACAGTACGCCTTCTCAAAGGACAGCGGGCTGCTGAAGAGGAGACACCAGCGTCAGACTGCACACACCGCTCTCAGGCCTGGCGTGCATCCATTTGTTTCATCCCATTACGAGAAACTGACAAAGACTAGTGGCTTGTCCAAAAATCTGGCAGACCACATGAGCCAGAAAATAATGGATTCATTTCCCTGGGCTCTTTTGCATCCATGGATATTCTTATCAGAATTAGCAGTCTTTCGAAACCTACCTTTAAGAAGAAAACCTTATGAGTAGGCAACTGGCACAGCAGCTGGGCTGTCCGCTTCCCGCCTGCCTCCTAGGTGCCCAGCTTCAAGTCCCACCTCTGCTGACTGCAGCTTCCTGCTGAGGGGCGCTGTGGGGGCAGTGGATGAGAGCGCTGGGCCATGTCTTTGGCAGGGCTATTATGGGCATTTGGGGAGTGAACCCGCAGATGGAGGACTTATTTCTGTCTCCACCTCTCTGCCTTTGAGGCACATGCATCTAAATAAAAATGTTAAAAGCCCGGGAAGGTGAGTAGGGCAGCATTGCAGCCACCCCCTTGGTGCCCACATCTCACACGGAGGGTAAGTAGCTGCTTAGCTCTGCCCCTGTGTTCTAATATACCTGGGGACCGAGGGAGCAGTCCAAGCACTTAGGTCCTTGCCCACCGTCTAGGAGACCTGAACTGAGTTCCTGGCTCCTGGTTCTGTCCAGGCCCAGCTCCCAGAGAGTAAACTGAGGGACGGAAAACATCAGTCACTTTGCTTTTTCAATATGTACATAAATACACTTTTTCGGGGGGCGGGGGATGGGTTTCGTTTTCTTTCTAAGTGTGAGAACGAAGGCTGGCATTGTAGCAGAGTAGGTGAAGCTTCCGGTTTAGATGCGAAAATGCATGTGAACACGGGCTCAAGGCCCCGGCTGCTCCAGCATCAACCCAGCTGCCTAGGCCCTGCCACAGATGTGGGCAAGCCAACCGAGTCCTTGGCTCTGGACTTCAACCGGGCCCAGGCCCAGAAGACTCTCCTCCCCTCTCCTGCACGCCCCCCAGCTCCTTCCCTCTCTCGCTCTCTGTGTAACTCACCCATGCAAATAAAATAAATATTTTAAAAATAAAGATTTTAAAAAAGTATTAAGAAAACCAAACATCAATACAATCTGAACACGGTTGTATTTTTTAAAAGATTTTTATTTTTTGAATTTTTACTGGAAAATTAGGTATACATATAGGAGGAGATACAGAGAGGAAATAAATCTTCCATCTGTTATTCACTTCCCAAGTGGCCACAAGCTGGCTAGAGCTGTGCTGACCCGAAGCCATTAACCTAGAGCCTCTTCTTGGTCTCCCACGTGGTGCAGGGTCCCAAGGCTTTAGGCCATCATTGACTGCTTTCCCAGGCTGCAAGCAGCAAGCTGGATGGGAAGCGGGTCCGAGGGATTAGAACCGATGCCGATATGGGATCCTGGCGGCTTACAAGGTGAGGACTTTAGTCGCTAGGCTACCGCACCAAGCCCCACTGATATATTTCTTTTTAACAACAGGCCCCTCCACTGGCACACCTTGCAAACGCCCACAGCACGCCAACCTGGTCAGCTGACACCAGGAGAGGAAAACTTCAATTTAGACGCCTCACTGGGGCACCTGTGGGCCTTCATCTATGCCTTCCAGAGCCTGCAGCAGCAGGGAGAGGGGTCAGGGTGAGCCTGACCCCACATCAACCCCAAGCACTGGGATACCAGGCACGGGCACTTTAACCAGTATGCCAAGTCTGTCTGAGAAGGTGTTATATTTATCTCTCAATGAAATAATAAGATATGAGCTGGGAGTTTGGCCCTCTGAATGCCAGCATCCCATGTCAGAAGGCCTGGTCAGCGTGCCAATGCCAGCTCTGCTCCCAACTCCATCTTCCTGCTAAGGCACACCCTTGCAGCAGCAGGTGATGGCTTTGCCACTCCCGCACCCTCAGCTCCCAGTCCAGCCGGGCCCAGATGCCTCTGCTGCTACGTGAGAGGCATCAGTCGCTAGATAAAAACCAGCTATCTGTCTCCTGTTTCTTTAAAACAGTCAGAGGGCTCAGTGCAATAGCCTAGTGGCTGAAGTCCTCATCTTGCTCGTGCCCAGATCCCGTATGGGCGCCGGTTCCAATCCTGGCAGCCCTGCTTCCCATCCAGCTTCCTGTTTGTCACCAGGAAAGCAGCTAAGGCTGGTCCGAGGCCTTAGGACCCTGCACCCACGCAGGAGACCTGGCTCCTGGCTTCGGATTGGCTCAGCTCTGATTGTCATGGTCACCTGGCAAGTGAATCAATGAACAGAAGATCTTCCTCTCTGACTCTCCTCTCTATATCTGACTTGCAAATAAAATTTAAAAATAAATAAATAAGTAAGTCATGAGAAAACCGCTTCTTTAAACTTTTCCAAGACACAAATAATCAGCAAATAAAACAATAATGGAAAACCTGAAAGTAACTTAATGGTCAAAATCAAACAACTGGCAAATATACAACCATGTAAGCACTACTTACACACAGACTTAAATGTTCATCTACACTAACAGAATACTGAACACTGGGCCCGGTGTGATGGCCTAGTGGCTAAAGCCCTTGCCTTGAACATGCTGGGATCACATATGGACACCGCAAGTCCCATCCAGCTCCCTGCTTGTGGCCTGGGAAAGTAGTTGAGGACGGCCCAAAGCCTTGGGACCCTGCAGCCATGTGGGAGACCCAGAAGAGGCTCCTGGCTTCGGATCAGCATGGCTCCAGCCATTGCAACCGCCTGGGGAGTGAACCAGCAGGTGGAAGATCTTCCTCTCTGTCTCTCCTCCTCTCTATATATCTGCCTTTCCAATTACAAAAATAAATCCTAAAAAAAAAAGAATATTGAAAACTTGTACTTAAGTTTCAACTGCAATTCAGGATGAGAAATATTTACCAAAGCAACTAATAATGTTTTATTCAATTACCCAAAAAGCTTGAAAAAAATCTGCCTACCTCATAACAGCCAACATTCAAAAGAAACAATCCTGGCATGAACTTTAAATTCCCTCTCATCCTTGCTTGCTCCTCAAAGGCCCAGTCCAGGAGGGAGCCAGAACTCAATCCTAATCTCCCACTGATGGAGTCATCACTGCGGCCCTCCCCTCCAGCCCCAGGGCTGCACGAGCCAAGTCAGACACCAAAGGCAGGTTGGGAACCCAGGCCCTGCCGCTCCTGCTGTCCCCCAGGGCTGCACAAGCTGGAGTCAGACACCAGAGGGAGGTCGGGAACCCAGGCCCTGCCACTCCGGACAACGTGTCTCCATCACCAGGCCAAACGGCCACCGCATTACAGACATGCTTAATCAACAAGCAGTGTCTTCTTTATTGACCATTTTAGAACTTAAACATTGCTTTTCACTCTGTAACACACTTACACAGCTCAAATCTAAAAACAAAAACATCTACAGTAAGAGGCTTTACACCCAGTATTGTCCAAATTTAACCTCTTTCTCCTCACACTCTCTGACTATATTTATTCACTTCCAGAATTTTTTTTTTCTGAAAACACAGGCAAATACCTACGTAACTCTTCTATCCTCCTTGTCTCACAAAAGGACATTTACTATACACCATTCTGTATCAGAACACTATTAGAGAATAAACGTGTTACAAGCTAAATTTCAACACACATATCTTCTGAGGCCTAGGCATAAATGTAAATAAAAATCAAATTACAGTACCAGGGAACAAGACTTTTAAAACTTGCCATGTGTTCTAAAGACTATCAAAAAACTCTCAGACCAAAAGACCTTACCTAGCACCACAGCCACCTAAACAGCTTTCGGTGGAGCTGGGCACGGAGATCCAGCCAAGTCCGCCAAACTATCCTAGAAACCACAACGAATCCAGAGCCCACACACACCCCGCCTTCCCGGCACTGCCTACCCTCCGTGCCCGTGGGCTTACACAGCTCTGCAATCCCTCTCCTGAGTTTCCACACTTATATTTATGCCCCACATCTCTCTTTAGTTTCTTCTCAGACAGCAGTGTTAAGAAAGGCTGCCTAAAGCAAAAAAGAACAAAGGATCTGTCCAGTTTCAGAAGCACTGACAATGGCAACCAAACCAAAACCAAAACCAAACAAAACGAAACAAAAACCCGCCGGTGTGAAAAGCCACGGTGGAGGTCACAACCAGAGTTTCTGGGGACCACAAGCGACGGCAACCTGCAGCACTTACTTGGCTAACACTTTGGTGTGGGTGTTGATAACATTCAAGGCTTCCTTGAAACTCCCGTTCTGGATTAGGCACACCACTTTACAGTGCAGGGCTGTCACATCGTCCTTGTTGACCTGCAGGACTGGATGACAACAGTAAGAAAGTCACATTTTAAAAACAGATTTCTTTCTTAGAAAGGCAGAGTCACAGAGAGAGGTCTTTATCTGCTGGTTCACTTTGCAGATGGCCACAGCAGCCAGGCCTGAGCCAGAGTGAAGTCAGGAGCCAGGAGCTTCAGCCAGGTCTCCCACACAGGGGCAGGGGAAGTCACACTGGCAGACAGCCAGACTTGAACTGGCAGCCCTATGGGATGGTGGTGTGGTAAGTGCCAGCTTTACCTGCTACACAATGCTGGCACCAGAAAGTTATTTTTTTTTTAAAGATTTAAAATTTCTTTACTTTTTATTTGAAAGGCAGACTTACACAGAGAGACAAAGATTTTCCACCGGCTGATTAATTCCACAAGTGGCCATAATGATAGAGATAAGCTGATCCAAAGCTAAGAGCCAGGAGCTTCTGGGTCTCCCATGTGGATTCAGCATCCTAAAGACTTAGGCAACCTCCACTACTTTCCCAGGCTAAAGGCAGGGAGCTGGATGGGAAGTGGCCGGGACACAAACCAATGCCCACATGGGATGCTGGTACCACAGGTGGAAGATCCTCCTGTTGAGCCATAGCACCATCCCCACAAACATTCACTTTAAAGGCATTCTCTTTTTACATTTTTATTATGCTTTCCTACCCTTGCCTCAAAAAGCTACACTGCCAATGTTAATATAGAGATACGATTAATCAAAACATTAACAAAATACTCATTTTAACTTAGAGTGACAATACACTTACAGATTAAATTTTCAATGAGATGAGGTTTCCAAAGATGCATACAGCAAAAAAGTATAATGAACTAATGAAGTAAGAAAGAAGCTGTTTTTCTAGCACCTCTATTTTAGGATGTGCACTATATCCTGTGTATCTGTACCTCATTATCACACTGGAAAAGAAAAATTAGTCACTTTCCTGAAAGCCAACGACACAGGTTCACTGCAAGCTGGATGTCTTGGGTAAATGCCTGGATAGCCAAATCACAGTTTTCTGATCTACAAAAGGAGTATGAGTACAAAACCCATTTTACAAGAAAATGAAATGAGGGGAGGCACCGGGTACAGCGGGCTGAACCACTGCTGCTTGGGATGCCGCACTCCTTCCCAGAGGCGTGGTTCAAGTCCTGTCTACTCCACTACTGATCCAGCATCTTGCTAATGTCCCTGGCAGTGGGCAATGGCCCAAGTACTCGGGTGGCCTACCACCACTGCGGGAGACCCGGATGGAATTCCAGCTCCTGGTCTAGACCGAGCTTACTCAGCTCCAACTGTGGCAAGCACGTGGGGAGACAGCCAGCAGATGGAAGACCACCTGCTCTCTCTGTTTCTGCTACCCTGACTTACAGACAAACAAATTAGAAAATAAAAATTAAAGACAATCTTGCTGACAATGTTTCCAAAAACTATTCAGAATTTCCTTTCCCAACCAAGCTGACCACAGAGACATATAAGCACAGAGGTAAGCAGCCAAGTTCAGGTTGGAAAGCTATCAGCTATTCAATGTCAAAACCTCCAGTTCTAGCTTTAGGGTACTTAACGCCAGCAGTGTGGTCAGAGTAGAGGGTACCAAATAAAACACAGGGTGGTCGAGTCTCTGCCCAGGACACTGATCCTCTATTTGGAATGCCTGTTTCAGGTCCTGCTTCCTCTGCTGGCCAGGCTACTTCATGCTGGTGTCCAAGCAGGAAGATGGCAGGACCCAGCCGGGACTTCTGGCCCCTGGCAGCTGCCCCACCTGCATGTCATGGGCATGCAGGCAGTGAATTTGCAGATGGAACGTTTGTCGTCCATCTTTCTCTGTCTCTGCCTTTCAAGGAAAACAAAATACAGATAAAACAATTTTAGAAATACATACTGATGAACGGACTGCCTTTACTGTTTAAATGATTCCTGCAAAAACACTGTGCATTGCTACGGAGTGCACAGTATGGGTGGGAGAGCGAGCTAGCCAGAGGCTGAAGTTCAGACTAAGTTTAAGAATCAAGTGCATCTAAGTAGTTACAGCTCTTTTTCTGTGACGTCTGATATCCCCAGCAGTGCAACTGTAGGCACCCCTCACACGCCTTCCCCTTAACAGGTGGCTGGAAATTACTCAGTCTGGCTGTGCCGCTGACGTCCCTCTTAGGGTACCTCGGATTTGTGTCTTTCTAGATCTAACGCGGAGCTGGAATGCGTATAGGCACGAGCACTAAAATGCAAGGTCACATTACACTAAAACATTCAAAAATTAAACACGGAAGGCCGCACAGGAAGCAGGAGACCCCGAGAGGCAACCCACGGGGGGAGGGGGGGGCAAGAGCAGGCGCAGCCTTCCCTGAATACGCTGCTCCCCGCTTGCACTGTCCACTTTCTGACTTGGAATGACAGGTGAGGGGATGGAGGGGGGGCGCCTCAGTCCCTGGGAACAGCACCCCGCTGCTTCTTCCCTCTGCTGTCCGCGAGGCCCTGCGGCTTTGGAATGACGTGTCCTAGGCAGGCTCCCTTCAGCTGCTGCGGCTCCCGGGACGTGCACCGCCCGTGCTGTCTGGGATCCCCAAACGCCAAATCGGGGTGTCGGCCACGGCAGGCGGCGGCGAAGACACGTCAATCCACATCAACGAGGTCGGGGTGAGGGGCTGCGGTCTGCAGAGGTCCCGCGGCAGTGCAGGGAAGGCAGGACACGTGGCGCCCAGTACCCCGGACCCTCGGCCGGCGGGGGCCGTGGAGGGGCCGCCTGCCCGCGCCCCAGTCCCCCCAGCCCGTCCCAGCCAGGTGGAGGGGCGCGCAGCTCGCCCCTGCTTGCCGCACCCGCTATACGGCCGCCGTGCGTCTTGGGAACAAGCCCTATCCTCCCGCCCGCCCGGCCCGGCCCGGAGCCCGCCCGGCACTGACTCTTGTTGACCGTCTTGAGGGCGCGCGTGAAGTCGCCGTTCTGGCCATAGCGGTTCACCTCACTCCACAGTGCAGACACCGACACCCCGCCGCTGCCACCGCTCGCCATCTTGGAGGGGACGAGGGCCGGAGCGCGCCGACCTCGGCCCCGGAAGAGGATCCCGGCCGGGCAGGAAGCGGGCGGTTGCTAGGCGACGGCGCGGCGTCTCTCGGCTCCTGTGTCCTAGGATGCCGGGATTCTGGACCCGGGCGTGGGATTGCGGCTCCAAACGAGGCCGGACGACCGTTGTGAGCAACCGGAGGGAGTCGTTGCGCTCTCCCCCGCACAGGAGAAGCACAGCTTTCGGGCTGCCCTTTGGGCCCCCCTTAACTGCAGTTGGAGAGCAACCCGCAATGAAGCCACAGAGGAGTTGGAGGAGTGACTGCAACTGCCAAGGGACGAGCAAGCTACCATCCAAATTCCCTTTTTGTTCGGACTGTGAAATAGGGATCCCAAATGCTACTTGTTCCAGGGATAAAATGTAATGTCTGTGTTAGGACGCTTGCCATGCCCTCAGAACACGAAATCGGGGCCTTCGGCAGACCCAAAACCACCCAACTTCAGGCTCTGCTGGAAGGCCTGCTCACCGACCTTCCTGTCCATCTCTTTGCCCCCTTAACCCAGCCAACTTGTTTTCAGTTTCTTTACTCCCCAAAAGGCCACCACAGCTAGGGGTTGAAGCCAAAAGCTTGCAATACCACCCCAGTCTCCCAAGAGGGTGTCGGGGGCCCAAGGGCTTGGCCCATGCTCTGCTGCTTTCCCAGGTGCGTTGGAGGGAACTGGGTCAGAAGTGCAGCAGCTGGGACTTGAAGCAGCACTCACCCTGGGATGCTGCAACACAGGCAGCAGCACAGCTGAGCCTCTCCCACGTTTGCCCTGGCCGATGCCTCTTGATCTTTCAGTGTTCATGCAAAGAGCCAAAGTTCAGGAAGCCTCTAGCTTTATTGGTTATGTTCTCATGATTAACCAACATTCCAGGCTTCTGTGTGGACTACGGGTCCCTTGGACCAAGGATATCACTTCATTCACCTTCCTCCCATTTGAGCAGACCAAGTTTTTGCTTTGTATTTCTCACCTAACCTCACTTGAGGGGGTGGGAGTTCCAGATGTTATCTAGTATCTCCTGGATTCTCCAGGGAAGTTACTGCAGAAGCCATCAGTCTCCAAGCCAGCTTCCACTACCTCTGCCATCTCCCCAGGACTGTGCGGGAGTTAGCACTGTCCATCACAATGATCTAAAATTGCAAGGCAGAGATCTCCCACCTGCTGGTCCACTGCTCGCATGGGCCTGCTTTCTGGTGGCAGGGGCCCAGGCAAGTGGACCATCATCTGCTGCCTTCCCAGGCACCAGAGCAGGACGCTGACCCCAGCACGAGGTCCATCCTGTGCTGCCCTCCTGGGGACCAGAGCAGGAAGCTAAAAGGGAAGCAGAGCAGGTTGTGCTTCTTACTGCATCCCAGCCCACCCTGGCTTCCTATCTCTAGAAATATTTTTATTTATTTGAAAAGGGAAGAGGGACAAGAAAGCACAATCCATGGTTAATTCTTCCAGTACCTCCAGCCTGCTTGGTCAGATGGCTCCATCCAGGTCTCACAGGTGGGTGGCCAGTTCAAGCCCCCAGCCACTGGATTCGAGGCTGCTGCACTTCCGATCCAGCTCCCTGTTGACATGTCTGGATGACCAAAGCCTTGAGGCATCTGCACCCAGCTGAGACCTAGATATTCTGGGATTCACTTGCTTTATGTGGAAAATGAACTAGCAGATGGACGAGACCTCTGTGCAAATCTGCTTTTCAATAAAGATAAATCTCAAAAAAAAAAAAAAAGCCCTATGAAAACAAAAAAGGCAACTGAGACACTGCCTTGTCCTCCAGAGGTGCAGCTTCGCCAGGTAAGAGTACGGAAAGGGCATTGATTACTCCGACACCATGAAAGCAATGTTTCAAGATCTGAAAACATTTTTTTTGAAAACTTTTTTGTTTGGTGCAAATCAGCACAAGACAGTACAACCCTTCCATCTTCTGCAGATCAAAGTGTAACAGTGTGAGAGAAATAAAGTGTATTTTCTTCTTTCCTGGTGCTTATGATCAAACAGAACTCTAAGTGGTGGTAACGTGTTCACGGAAGCGGTTGAAGCTCTAGTAACCAGTTATAATGGCAAAAATGAGGGCCCCCACAGAACAAGGTACAGATGTGCAGCAGTCCTCACGGACAGCCTGCTGGGACAAACACCACAAACCAGGGAGAAGGCCAGTACTCCAAGGACACTATGCTGTGATGCCCATGTCAGTAATTTCACTAACATGGGCAGGAATTTATTAGGAAATTTTGTTTGATTTAAAAAATTGTCTTTACGACTCACACGATTTTTTCCCTATTATGGTTAAACTAGAAAATCATAGTTTTCCTCCTAAAAAGAAAATGGTGTTCCTTCTGAGGAACTGGATGCTCGGATTTTCTTGTCAGCCTGCTTCAAGGAAATCCACATGTTCAACAGGCTTGCGCGCAGTCTGGCCCATACCAAGTGGTCGTTCAATCCAAGGATCTGAGCAGCAAGCCGAGCTGCTCCTTGGGGAGAAAGAATAGTCGAACAGCAGACACCTGTGGGAAACAGTGGAGGGAGACATCTGAGCGGTCAGTAATGATGAATCAACCTAGCAAACCCTTTTATACAGAAATGTAAGACACAGTGAGATGGTAATGTAAAAATAGCAAGAGAATTAAGTGGGTAGAAACAACTATTTCTATAAACTTGAGGGTTTCAAATTGTTTTGATATCATTTACTGGCTCATTTTTTTGGTCTATGCATTTGAACTATTTCAACAATGTTAAGCAAAATAATCAAATCCAGAGTAGTTTCAAGAAATGTGACATAACAGATCTAGCAAGACGGTGTGGTGGCAGACACTCCTCCAGACGTGGTGCTGCCATCTCATGTGGGCACCGATTTGTGTCCTGCTGCTCCACTCCGACCTAGCAAAGCAGGATAATGGCCCACACGGCTGATAAAAAAAAGCTCCTGGTTCTGGTACATCTCAGCTCTGGCGGTGATCCGGGAATGAGAACTAGAGCTACATAACACAGGAGTTACAGCTCAGCTGAGGCTGGGGAGCGGGAGAAGTCAAAGTGGCCTGACACTCATAAGCCTTGTTGTCCCTACACTCTCCGTTCCTACCGCAGTAACTATCTCTAAAAGGCTACAGGAGGGACTCTGCATGGCAGCCCCATGTGCAAAGTTGCCGCCTTGCAAGCACTGGAATTCCATATGGACCCCACTTCCCTTCTGGCTCCTTGCTTGTGGCCTGGAAAAGCAGTTGAGGATGGCTCAAAGCTTTGGGACCCTGCACCCGCGTGGGAGACCTGGAAGAAGCTGCTGGCTCCCAGCTTCAGATCAGCTCAGTTTGCGGTCCCTTGGAGAGTGAACAAGCAGATGAAAACAAAACGAAGTAATTTTTGTTTAAAGGTGAAACACGGGCCCGGTGGCATGGCCTAGCAGCTAAAGTCCTCGCCTTGAACGCGCTGGGATCCCATATGGGCGCTGGTTCTAATCCCAGCAGCTCCACTTCCCATCCAGCTCCCTGCTTGTTGCCTGGGTAGGCAGTTGAGGACGGCCCAAAGCCTTGGGAACCTGCACCCGTGTGGGAGACCAGAAGGAGACCAGGTTCCTGGATCCTGGCTTCGGATCGGCATAGCATCAGCTGTTGCGGTCACTTGGGAAGTGAATCATTGGACAGAAGATCTTCCTCTCTGTCTCTCCTCCTCTGTCTTTGTAATAAAAAAAAAATAATAATAATACAATAAACATTAAAAAAAAAAAAACAAAAGGTGAAACACTTCAGGCTGGAACAGCGGGCAAGTCGAGGCAAGGAATGCAAGGTATAAAACGGAAGCTCAAACTTACACAGACACGCCAACCCCTAGCTCCCACCACAGTCCTTCCAGAATCTGGCAGCTAGGTTTACTCATTTAAACTGGAAGCTCAGACCAAAGCATCTGTGTAAAACTTTTCCAGGCATCCCACAGTGGATGCCAACTAATTAAGTTCCACTGACAGAAAACTTTTTCTTGCCTTTTTAACAGCTTCCCATTCTTAAATAGAAGTTGTTGCAATGATGATGAAAAGCTCTGTGTGAAGTAACACCAATTCCTTCAGGGCCCACTGTCCTCTCCTTTCTTCTTGCTGAGGTTCATGACCAAAGGGCTACAGAATTTCTCTCATCTCAAAGATACAATAATACCTTTTAAGACCTTCAGCAGGGGCTTGACCAAGTGGCTCAACTGACTAATCCTCTAACTTTAAGAACCAATTGGTATCCCAGCTGCTCCACTTTCCATCCACTCTGTATTTGTGGCTTGAGAAAGTGGTGGTGGATGGTCCAAGGCCTTAGGAACCTGCACCTGCATGGGAGACACAGAAGCTCCTGAATTCAGATGGGCTCAGCACTTGCCACTGCAGTCACTTAGGGAGTAGACCAGGAGAGATCTTTATATTTCCTCCCTGTAAATCTCATCTGCCTTTCCAATAAAATGCAATAATGTTAAAGTTCAGAGAACAAAGGAGAGAGCCCCAGGGACTCATTGTTATCTTTTTTTTCCACAGACTGCTTTAAGCTTTTCTTAAACAGATTTAAATGTCTGTTTTTTTTCTTTAAGCTTTTCTCATTTTGGTGAGATGCCATCCTTTGTCTGCAGCCACATCTTTAAGCAAAATTTGTAGGGCTGGTTGGGTGCAGGTGAAGTATTTCAATGTTTGCTTTCAAAGCTTTTTTGTTGGGCCTGGTGCAGTAGCTCAGTGGCTCAGCAGCTAGGGTCCTCACCTTGCACAAGCTAGAATCCCATATTGAGGCCAGTTCTAATCTAGGCGGCCCCACTAACCATCCAGCTCTCTGCTTGTGTCCTGGGAAAGCAGTCGAGGATGGGCCAAAGCTTTGGGACCCTGCACCATGTGGGAGTCCTGGAAGATGATCCAGGATCCTGGCTTCATACGGGCACAGCTCCAGCCACTGCAGCCACTTCAGGAGTGAATTTCCCATGGAAGATCTTCCTATCTCTCCTCCTTTAAAAAAGCCTTTTTGTTTCATTTTCATATACAAATGAGAGCACTGCTGGGTGTATTCTGGGTTGGTAGTTCTTGTTTAGGATCTGGATTATGTATCTCCATCCTCTTCCAGCCATAGGGCTTGCGGTGACTTGCTGGCAATGAGCCTGACTGGCAATCATGTAAAAGTTATCAGATGTTTGATTACAGAGAGCTTGATTATGATGCTGTGGCATAAACTGCTTCTCTGTGCGTCTTGTATTTGGATCTCCCTTCCATTTTCCATGGTAGGGAAGTTTTCTTTATTTCCTTGAATACACCATTCGGATGGTGAGCTCACAAACCCTGCCCCCACCCCGAATGCATGCCATGGACTAGCCTCACGTTACTGCAGTGCAGTCTTCGATTCTAATGCCAGAGTACAAGGGAGCAAAGTCTGAGACAGCACTGTTTTTCCAGCAGATCGTGCTCCAACATCACCACAAAAAAAACTATATTGTCTTTTAAATTGTCTTTAAAATATTTTACCCTTTCCTAAAAACATAATCACTCTCACATCGGAATATAATCAACCATATACCATGAGAAAAAGTCTACAGGAAGAATGAAATCAGACTGAAGAGATTATCAGCTTCCTATGAGGATTCCCAACTGAGGAAACCAGCCACATAAAGCAAGATATTGAGATAAGCTTCAAGACCCACAGAAATCTGATGGTTTTCAGAAGTGACTATTAAGTTTCCTGGGGTAAGGAGTAATATGATCTTTTTTTTTTTTTTTTTTTTAAAGATTTATTTTTATTATTTTCTCATTGTAAAGGCGGATATACAGAGAGGAGATACAAAGAGGAAGATCTTCCGTCCGATGATTCACTCCCCAAGTGAGCGCAACGGCCGATACTATGCCAATCCGAAGCCAGGAGCCCCCTCCGGGTCTCCCACAGGGTGCAGGTTCCCAAAGCTTTGGGCCGTCCTCGACTGCTTTCCCAGGCCACAGGCAGGGAGCTGGAAGGGAAGCGGGGCTGCCGGGATTAGAACCGGCGCCCATATGGGATCCCGGGCGTGCAAGGTGAGGACCTTAACAACTTGCGCCACCGCGACGGGCCCGAGTAATATGATCTTGATTTAAAACTAGGTCCCGAGAGACAGACTGGCACGTACTTGTCCTTCCATCATTATGTTCATGCTACTGTTGTACCTGTTGGAATATGCTGTAAAGCACAGTTAAAAAGTTATCTTACCACCGGGTAGTCGAAGAGAGGACCACACATCCTGGGCCCCCCATTCCGAGTCGAGCGGGGGACAGTTCAGGACTGGATACACGGTGTTGCCGGACAGCACTGGGCCCAAGCCGTTGCTTCTGCCTGCCACTGCCACGAACACAGTGGGGATGCCATCCCCTAGGGAAACAACAATGTTATCCTGCCGTTAAACATTCACAGGAGATTTAAACGTCTGTGTGTTTTTTTTTTTTTATGAGGCATCTCTTTTTCAGAAAGACACCTTTTCTGCTTTGGTTTCCAGAAATCAAGAGCGACAACTTGGGGTCCTCTTGACGCCAAGCAATCTTTAACGAAAAAGGGGTCAGGAACACTTAGTGGTGACTTGTCACTTGTTGGGAGTTCAAGGCAGGTTTAATGCATTATTCAATGGCTGTTGTCATGGCATAGTAGGTTAAGTGGCCACTTGCCATGCTGGCGGCCGTTCTGAGTGCTGGTTCGAGCCTGAAGTGCTCCAGTTAAAATCAGGCACTAGTGCCCTGCTAATCCAATTAGGAAAGCAGTGGAGGGTGTGAAAGGGTTAATTGTCAAGGTGACAGTACTGCTGGAAGTCTGGAATGTCCGAAGACACTTGCATCCTGTTATAACTTTGCCTTTCAAAGACATTATTTTTTTTAACATTTTGAGACCCTTACCCTATGAGTCTGCTCAGATTAATAATTACACTCCCATGGTTAGTAACTACAGTGGAAGCAGCCAGCTTTATTTCCACTGCAAACCCATTAGATTCTAAAGCGGGTGCTACCATTCCCGTCCTGTGCTCTCAGAGATTGCCCATCTCAACACTGGGCATCAGATGACTGACAGGCCACGGTCTATCAGGAGCATCAGGAGTGCCACGTGGGGACGGGTGAGCAGGAGGGGATCCCAGAGCTTCTCACCCCCCCGCCCCTGCTCCTGTTTTTCTGCTCAAGCCTATAATCCCTTTGCTCTGTCCATTTCTTGTACAAGCTCCTGATTATCTCAAGCTCTTTGGCAACGACTGACACAAGAGCTGAGCACACTCCACGAAGTCCTTTGGAACCTCGGTGAAGTTCTTAATCCACATTGTGATGCCGACAGGTGCCCTCAGTGCGGGATCATCCAAGGTGTACCTTCGTACTCGGCTTTGATCCTCAGGGTTTCTTCTGGTCCTTTATGGGCAGACGTCACACGAAGCTCACAGGGCATTCCAAAACCTTCGCAAGCCTTCTTGATCTGTGTACAGTGCTCAAGATCAGAAGTTGAGCCCATCAGTATTACAACTCTGCTTACGCTTTGTGGTTTCAGAAGCAACTGGAAAAGAGAACCAGACAGAAAAAACAGGTTAAAGACAGCGGTCTTCCCAATCAAGACCTAAACTGCGGTCCGTCCGGAAGCAGGTGTTGTCACTGTTTGCAATGCTCATTTCCCACTAAATCACTAGTTCCAGTCCCACCTGCTTTTCTTTCAATCCATCTTCCTGCTGCTGTGCCGGGAGGGCAGTGCAGGATGTGCAAGCGCGAAGCTCTCACTACACACCTGGCTGTGGCAGTCACCTGGACAGGAGCCAAAAGAGCTCTGCCTCTATTACTCTGCCTTTCACATAAAGTAAGTTTTGTCCCCGCCAATAAATCATACTCTTAATCAGATAAATACTCAAACCTTTTCATTAATATTAAAAAAACTATAGCAAGCTGTTTCATCGTAAAGGTTTTAGGGTCTTCTGTTCAACAAAGGTTTTAGAGATAATGCTATTAATCTAACTAGTACGCTAGGAGCTCAAACTGCATTCCCATGTAACCAGTTATGAAAGGGGATTATAACTTTGGATAACCACAAGTCCCATTCAACTTGCATGGAATTACAGTAGTAACACATGAAAAATGAAAGCAATGCCTTGGATTTCTGTCCATCCTGAGGTAAAAGCCCTGGGAGAGGCCGCTAGGAAATGTGAGGTATCTCCTACTGGGGCAGGGACCCCTAGCTGTCAGGCTAAGGGTTAGAGGTGAGGATGGTCTCGCTGCACATTCCCTAAAGGTGTACCCACCTGCTAAGTCATGGCAACTACCCCCACCTTGGAAACAAGACTTCCTCAGAAGCAAACTCGACACAGGTTGGTGGCAAAGGCTCACCTCCACTCTCTCAGCAACCCACTCGAAGTTTTTCTTCACCATCTGCAGCCCTTCGGGAGTCACTTCTTTCAGGTCACGGTAAGACTAGAAAATTGCAAAGTTCAGGAAATTGTTATTATCTTCTGCTGCCTGGAGCAATCTGCTTTCCGAGTTGCAGGCAGGTATGATGAAGAGTCTGCACTAAGTGATGTCTCAGAAATGTTATCTTCATCTACAAAGCATTTCTAATTACTGACAGCCCAGCTGCAAACCAATTCTATGGTCATGTAAGATTACATGCTTTCTACACTAGCCTGAGAATTCTTAGGTGTGTAGGCTTGCCCCATTTTTGTTTCCCTCAATAAAGAACAGAAAAGGAGCCGGAAAAATACAGAAGATTTGCTCAGTGCTCTAGTTTTTACTTAGTCAAACAGAACTAATATTTTTCTTTTTTGTTATATGAGCCTATTAAGAAGACCAATTGAGATGGCGGTTATGTAAACTTCATGCTGCACCCCCCACTAGGAAGCAGCATACCTTCATTACAGTATCTCCTCTTCTTGCTCACGCTGAGTGTGCAAAGGGCAACCAGGCTGAGCGTCACATACCTGCTTGTCTTTCTGCAGCCTTCGATCCCCTAACGGCCAGAGTCTCCAGGAATCATTATCAATCACATCAGCAAGAACAATTTCTTTGGTAGTAACATCAACACCAAACTCAACCTAGAAACAGCAGACCACAAAGAAAAGTTACTAACAACTCCGCCGCTCGGTTACACGGCTCCCGTCCAAGCGTGCTGGCTTTCTCTGCACCTTCATATCCACCAGGGTACAATTCTGAGTCGACCAGGACTTCTCCAGGATTTCAAAAATAGCCTGTGTGGTGCGGTCCATGATGTCCACCTCAGTTTGACCTATGTCAAGTCCAGCAAAGCAGAACTTGGCAGCAATGATCTGTTCCCTAGACCACTGTGGGTCATTGTTGGCATCATCCTGGGAACGAGGGAGAGCAGCAGTTAGTGGAAAGTCAAAGACTAATGCCGTTCCCTTCGAAGCAGTAATTCCTCAGAAACCATTCACGTTCTTTAAAAACAGTATTCATAATATTCCTTAAATCATTCATTTTTGTTTACTTTCAGCAGCTACTTAAGTTTTTACACAAGCACCTTATTCTAAGTCATCAAGTATTTGAAAGAATTTTCCATCTCTTTATAAGCTCTTCATAATTTATATACGCTGAATTTTATTTTTCCTTACTAACTCTAATAGGGAAGCTGAATGTACGTCGGTGAGATCTTCCCATAATTATTTTCCACATCTTCACCGTCAGCTTTGATAAGTAGGTGTACAGAACAACAAGCCTCTGACACTGTCTGCTAATCCATGACACCTCAGAGGTGAAGAGCTCTCTCCATGTCTCTCCATGGGGGTGGCATGGGCCCAAGGACCTGGGCAACCCTCCACCACCTTCGCAGGCACGTTAGCAGGGAGATGGATCCCAGGCAGAGCAGCTGGGGCGGACTACAAGGGATGCCTGCATGGCAGGTGGCTTGCTGCACTGCAACAGCTCCTAACTGATGCTCTTCTTACACAGCCTGGTCTACAGAGAGAGGGTTTTCATAGGCATTTACTCTGAAAACTTTTCTATCACTAGTAGGAATAGACATTACTCATGCCAAGTTTGTGGAATGATATTTACTATCCTAAAAGTCTTAATAATTGCTTAAATTTGGGTGGTTTGCAACTATTACTTTGCTACTACAATTGTGAAGACACAGAAATAACCACCTTGAAAAACATTTCCACTTTAGGTGGGTTAAACCTGTACCCTTCCTCAACGCCAGGATTTCGTTTGAGAAAGGAGCCGGTGGCTATTCTCCTGCAGACCCACTCAATGGGAACCATCTCACAGCGCGGCGCGATGAAAGCCGTCTCCCCGTGCTGCCTGACGAAAGCAGTTTTGATACCTGCACATCAATAATAAACATTTTTTAAAAGGCTTTGAACTTCTCTTCATTTTTACAGATTTGTTTTGAAAGAGTTCCAGAAAGGTAAAGGATGAGAGGAATATTCCACCTGCGGTTCACTCCCTAAATGGCCACAAACCACCAGCGCTGCCCGGTGAAGCCAGGATCATCATACAGGTCTCTAAGATGGGTGGCCCTGGGATAGGACCACTTTCTGTAGCTTTTCCAGGCCATCAGCAGGGAGGGAGCTGGTTCGGAACTGGAGTAGCCCAGACATAAAGCTGTTACATGACATGTCATTGACCCACTATGCTACATTGCTGCCCCCTAAACATTTCATGTTACTACATGGCAAATTATAAAGTGAGCCAGAAGGTCCAGAGGCTACCATTTATGCCGTCCTTCCGCTGTAGAATATCCATCTTCACACAAAGCAAGTCATTACCCCATGTACAGCGACTTGACTGGCCTCAGTGCAATAGCGCTAAAGTCCTCACCTTAAATATGCCAAGATCCCATACGGGTGCCAATTGGTGTCCTGGCAGCTCCACTGCCCATCCAGCTCCCTACTTGAGGCCTGGGAAAGCAGTGTGAGCATGGCACAAAGCCTTGGGACCCTGCACTCACATTTGATACCCAGGACTTCTGGCTTCAAATCAGCTTAGCTCTGGCCGTTGTGGCCACGTGGGGAATTAATCAGCGGACAGAAGATCTTTCTCTCTGTAACTCTGACTTTCCAATAAAAAAGGGGAAAAAAAAAAAGGCTCTGTCTTCAGGACTGTAGTGTTGTATAGTGTAACACTACATGGGTGGCCTTGTAGAGCATGACTCCGTGGTACAAGCACAAATAGCCCCTCTCTCAATGCACGAGCAAGCAATCCTGAAAGTATCCAACACCAGCTGCTTGGGTCAGAAGCAAAAATCAAATAATCGTATTGTATTGCTCTTGTTCCTTGTCTAATTGGAAAGGTATTAGAAAACAGGGATAAAAAGTTTCCTTATGATGTTTCCAATGGAAAGTATTTTATATGGTGGCCTTGAAAAAGAATAATGTGTAATAGCTAAAACGTATCAAGATCCAAGAATTCTTCTCCCAGGTTTCTATCTAACAGAACTGAGAGCAGGACACCAAGAGATGGCTTGTACATTCACGTGCACAGCAGCATTGCTCCAGACAGGCAACATGGGAGCAGGCAGACATGAACAGGACGGACCCCAGAGCTACGCACACCACACTAGGGCATGTCCAGCTGTCAAAGGAATGAAGGCAATCACTGATACTTATGTTAGGAGTGGACCTTGAAAACACCACGCACAATCAGGAGCATGTCTTAATTCCACATGTGCGAGGTAGCTGGAAGAGGGAGAGGGAGGACCCAGGGTCTCAGGGCTAGAAGGGCAGGGGGAGCGGAAAGCCCTCATTTCATGTTGGAGTTTCTGAGTTGCTGTTCTGGACACATGTAACAGGATGACTGACACAGATGGCTGCGTGTCTGGAAGAGCAGATTACATCAAGGATACCTACCAACAATTTTAAAGCTTCAAGAGCCCGCTGTAGGGCAGGTGCAGTCTAACCATTTTGTTATATTTTTTTACTTTTATAATGTCACGTCTCAGCTTGAGCACATGGTACCACTATTTGCACAGAAATAGTATTCCCAATGATTTGTGTACGGTGAAGTCTGCAAGCTCTTGGTTCGATTTAAATTAGCTGCACTTGGGGCTGGCGTTGTGCTGTCACTGGCTAAGTCTCCACCTGTGGTACCAGTATCACATACGGGCACTAGTTCAAGCCCCGACTGCTCCACTTCAGATCCAGCAGCCTGCTACGGTCTGGGAAAGCGCCAAGGCCCAAGGACCTAGTTGGAAGACTTGCAAGAAGCTCCTGGCTTCAGATTGGCCCAGTTCTAGCCACTGCAGCCATCTGGACACTGAACCAGAGAATGGAAGACAGCCATTTCCCCTTCTCTCTTTGGAAAAAAAAAAAAAACCCTGACTTTACAACACACATCCAAATGTGAAACTAATCAAATGCCATCTCTCCATGAAAGAGATCAGTGCACAAGAAAAGGGGTGTGGGGGGCGGTGTGGAAGCCACTCCTCTACTTCCTGGAACATACAACTGGTGAGCACTTATTGACTCAAATGTCATTTCCTCATGAAAACCATCAAGGAGAGACGGTGCCAGAGTCCGCGCACAGGGAGGCCAGACAGCCACTCACCTGCTCCTCGCAACAGCTCAAAAATGCAACTGGTAGTTTTGTTTGAGATGGCAGCTTTTCCCTCCATGTGGTTCTTTCTGGCCGCATTTCCTGCTGTAATCTGGTCCTTGGACTGCAGGAGAACTTGTCCGGGACAGTCCAACAATTCATACACTTCTTTTGTTTTGCCCTCATAGAGTTTCTTACCGATGTTCAGAACTGTGGACATAAGACATGTTATCAGATTCCAGGAAGAAACTTCCTGAACATGAAGAGGAATGGATAATTTAATAAAAATGAAATCATCTCCAGAGAACCTCATAGGCTACAAAGTAGTCTTTCCCCAGACTTTTGCTTATTTCCATGGCAGGCAAAAATGGTTAAAAATCCAGCCAAGTGAACAGGCAAAGGAGGTGTCTCCATTCACTCCCATGTGGAAGCTCAGTCCTGTATCCTGCGGGCCTAGCTCTCCCCAGCCCCAGTGACACCGTTCCTGCACTAACAGTCGTAGGGAATTAAGGAGGCAAGCAGGAAGGACTCCAACTGGGATGCCGTGAGATCTTACCAGGAAGCAGGGCCTAATCATGAGAAAGAATATTCTAGAAGACATTGATAGGCGACAGAAATTCGAAGACCTCTAGACAGGCAATCACCTCATGCCCCCAGAGCATGACTCATTTTGGCCTCGGCACAGGCTAGTGCCAGGGAATTCCCGAGTCCCTGTTCCCAGGGGACCTGGGCCTGAGGAAGACAGACTAAACACGAGCTCATGGCATGTCAGTCTAACATGATAGACAGTGGGAGAACACATTGCTAGTGGTGCACCTAGCCCAGTTTAGCCAGCAGAGAAGGAAGTCTAGAAGGGTCTACTGCCAGGCTTTGTGGCCTAGCAGTTAAGACAGCCCCTTAGCAGCTCGGGGTCCCTGGGGGCCATTCCTAGCTCTAGCTTCCTACCAGGACAGAGCCTGGGTGGACCTGGGCTCCTGTTCTCAGCGTGGAAGACCTGGACACAGGTCGTTGCTTACAGCGGCTGGCACCTGGAGACTGCACTCTTGAAGCCACTGCAAGGGAATTTTCATGTCCCCCCAACTCCTTCGACAAGTCTGCCAGGCCTGACTGCATTCTTCCTTTCTTTTCCACTTCCCTCACTCATCCTTCAAGCCCTCTAGGCCAGGTTGATTGAGCCCTGGGACAGAAGCCATGGCCTGGAGCAGGGGGTCTGTCAGGTAATCCTTTGCCTGTGGTGTAGGAACCAGAACAAGTCCAGCCTGCTCCACGTCCCCTCCCTAAGCAGGGAGCTTGTGGCCTGGAAAAGCAGCAGAGGATGGCTCAAGGATGGGCTCTGCTCCCACGTGGGAGACCTGGAAGAAGCTCCTGGTTTCCAGCTCTGAATCAACCCTGCCCTGAACACCGTGGCCCTTTGGGAGAGGCTCTTAACAACTTTGACTTTCCAATCAAAACAAATGCGCGGTGTGCTAAAAGTGCCCAAAATGCTTAATTTTGTAAATCTGCCCAGGAGAAAATGATCCTGTTGAAGAATGAGTCGAAGAATTAGATCTGTCTGCAATTTTTAAAAGTATTTGATTAAAAATTTGCCGGCTTTTCGTCAGCTGGTTTAGTCCCCAGTGGCTGCAAGGCTGCAAGCACCGGGTCGGCTGCAGCTTGCCCCAGGCCGTTGGCAGGATGCTAGACCAGGATGCCAATGGGGCAGCGTCGCAGGAGGACGCTTTTCATGCTACATGCCATCCTGATCTAAACTTAACTATGTCTTCCTGTGTGTTAAAAGAACGTGCCTCAGCCCCATGGGTCTGGCGCCATTTGGACGCAGGTTCTAATCCCGGCAGCTCCATTCCCGGGAATGCATTCCTAGGAATGCGGATGGCGCCAGCATGGGGCCCTGCACCCACGTGGGAGAGCCAGAAGCAGCTGCTGACCAGCCCAGCTCCGGCCGAGGCAGCCACCTGGGGCGGAGAAGCAGCGGAAGGAATCTACTACTTATCTTTTGAATAAAAATAAACAGACTTTAACACGTGGCGGAAGGAATATGTGCAGGTTGTAGCAACACACACGGTAAGAACTATCTTACCCGAAGACAATAAACAAAAACAATAAAGCGAGGAAGGTTCTTTTAATTGCTTGCGGGCTGTGGAGCTCTGCAAAAGCCATCAACGGCCTTTACTGAAAAAGTAAGAAATCTAGTTAAAACTACACGAATGCTGGCCAGCTTTCCAAACGGCTCCACTACGAACCTGCAAAACCCAGACTTTGGAAAAGTCAGCATTAGATTTCCAAGCAATTGCTTTTGCAACAGCTTATTGACTTGCTAAGGCCGCGTGCCAGCTCCGCGCCATGGCAGCGAGGAGCCCGGGCTCCGGCCCTCGGGCCACGTGTCCACCCCAGCCCCGAGACGGCCGGCCCGGACGCCCCCCACTCACCCTCAGCCGTCGCCATCGTCCCGAGTGCAGCGAGAGCCGGGCTGCGAGGCGCTGTCGGCGGGGCTGGAGGCGGGAGCGCGGCTCGCGTTGAGCAGGCGGAGGGCGGCTCGGCGGAGCAGGCGGAGGGCGGCTCGGCGGAGCAGGCGGACGGCTGCCCGGCAGCGAGCGGATCCGATGACCGCGGGGCTCCGGGAGGGAGGGTCTTCTCTCACAGGCCTTCCCGCCGCGCAGGCGCAGCAGTGCGACCCTCTGAGACCTCAGCGCGGGCGCGAGCCAGTCACGGAGCGGAGCGTACCAAGTCGGCACAGCCCGGGGGGGAGGCACGTCCGCAGGGGCTCACCACCTGCACGTACTCTGCGAGGGAATGGACGCGAGCCTTGTTGCTCTCCGCCACGCAGTGTCCAGGACGGGAAAGTAACGGAGACGCCCACGTGCAGGAGCAAGAACTCTCCAGGAGCGTCCTGGGGGAGGAGCGGCTCCACCCCTCGGGCTGCCGGACTCCTCCCCTCGGGCGCGGAGCCTCGCTCTACGCGCGCTCTGGTTGGCGGGCTCTCGGGGGGCGGGGCCTGGCGTCTGGCCACGCCCACGCAGGGCAGCGCGCGCCGCCGCAGTAGCGAGCGGAATCTCTCGGCGGGGAGGAAGGCGCTTGTCGCTGGCGCGATCGTCCGAGGCGTTGCGCTCGAGGCTGCAAGCTGGTTGGTGGGCCGATCTGCGGCCGGAGCTGCAGCTTCCTCCACGTGCTTGCGGCGGCGACATGGAGCTGGAAGAGTCGGGCATCCGAGAGGAATGTGGCGTGTTCGGGTGCATCGCCTCGGGAGAGTGGCCCACGCAGCTGGATGTTCCGCATGTGATCACCCTGGGGCTCGTGGGGCTGCAGCACCGGTGAGCCTCGGGGGGAAGGCCGAGCCTCCGGGCCTCCGGGCGCGTGGTGCCGGCCCTGCACCTGCCGAGCCGCGCGCGGGGCCGGGCGGGGGGCACTCGGCTCCGAGGTCCTGCACCCACCCTTCCCAGTCCCTGGTGGCTTTCCGGGCGCTTTCCTCGCAGCCTCTGCACCCCTCCAGTGTCCACCCTTGGCTCATCCGCGACTCCCTGCGGGTTCGGACCTGTGACTGTGGGCTGGTGTCCGGGGGCGCCTGGCCCGGGTCCTCCAACCACCGCGAGCTTTTGTTTGCAAGGACACGGCCTTTGGGCTGATTGTGGGTTTGGGAGCTGCCAGGAATGTGTGTGTGTGTTGGGGGTTTCCCGGAATTCGGACTCGGGGTCAGTTGGAGCTACTGAATATACACGCCAACCAACAATGCGTCAAGCCAGAGATGAGGGGATCTGGGGGAGACCTTCCTCCAGGTAATGAAAGATCCTTTCAAAGGGCTCCCGAGTGTGTGTGTCGGACTGGCAGACCCCTCAGGGAGTGCAGCAGTAACTTTGCTGACCGGCTGCGCGTGGATGTAAGTATCCCGGTCTGACGGTGCCCTGAGAGCTGCCCAGCATTAGGGCAGCAGCTTCTGGAAGCTTGGCAGTCACAGCAGGATGGGGGTCCTGCCTCGCCCCATCTGCACTGGAGGCAGCCTGCTTGTTCCTGTCCCAAATACTCCCGTGTCATTCTCTCGCCTTGTATATTCCCAGTTTACTCACACCCCCCGGGAGAGTCCGAAAGAACCTCCAGTTGAATAACTCCCATCTTGGTTAGCTGTGAGATTAACCACAGTAGGGTTCTTGTTTCCAAAAAAAATTTTTTTTACAAGATTAGATACATAATGCATCGGTTGCTTTTGTTCCTTTTTAAGGTTTATTTGAAAGAGTTAGACATCCAGAGAGAGCGAACCATGTGTTCAAGTAGCTGCAGCAGCCAGGGCAGGGCAGGGCTGGGCTGGGCTGGGCTGGGCTGACGCTGCCAGCTTCTCACGGTCTCCAAGTGCATGGCAGGGGACCAGGCACTTGCCTCCTCTTCCACAGCGTTTGCCAGGCCATCAGCAGGGAGCTGGATGGGAAGTGGAGCAGCTGGGAGGGACAAGAACACCCCACGAATGCTGGCAGCTCTGCCCCCTGGCCACACCACCACCCCCATGCTTGTGCTTCCAGTTTAGATGGAATTCTGCTTGGGGAAGTATGTGGCCTGTGCCGTTCTGGTTGTTTTTGTTACCAAATTCCTTTTGATTCCTAGTCATGCATGCCTTCTTCCACAAAAGGATTATGAGGTTTGATAGCAGCAGGTAAAGGCAGGGCCATTGTTAGTGAGCCGTGTAGAATGGAGGCGAATGGAGGCCCGTGGGCGGCTGCTTTAGCCTGAAGGACTTCTCCGTGAGTTTTGGTCAGGACTCTGGTATTTCAGCTTATTCCCAGCTGCTGTGTAACAAGCTCGGAAGCTCCTGGGAACAGTTGCAGTGTTGGGCAGGGGCTGAACGTGAGCCGGTTCAGGGCATGGAGGAGGCGTTTCTTCTGTCCAGTCTGAAGTTTCCAGGAGCACAGGTCTCTCACAGCAGCAGATTCTGAGTGGAAGGCTGCCGTGTAGAAACAGAGCCGTGAGCGGCTGGCAAGCAGACAGGGAAGGGCACAGAGTTCCTCCTTGTTTTACGGTGGCATAGAGTGTGGCACTGTCGAACCTGGCAGGGTGGGTAAGCTGCCATGCCTAATATCCACTCCGTCTGGAGTGTTGGCCACGAGGTTTCTATCACTTCTACACTGTCTCTGGCTCTGTATTTTACTTTTGTCATGGTTATGATGTAATCTAAAAATTTAATCTTGCTGCGAGCAATATTTGAAAATTACAATTTGAATAGCCTACAAAAAGTTTATGGAAAGTGACTGATGTTGTGGGGCAATAACTTAAACTGTGCCTGCAACACGAGCTGTAATCCTAGCCAGTGCTACTAGGCCTTCAAAGCCGGGGAGGGTGGCCCCCTGAATGGGTGCCCTGGCACCCAGCTGAGAGAACCCCGTGGCGTCTCTGGCTTTCTGCTTAGCATTGCCCTCCCCTTTGCAGACATTTGGTGAGTGAACCAGGGGAGAGAGATGCCTCTGCCTTTCAAATAAAAGTCCTTGAAAACTAACAATGGTGAACATGGGTTTCAAAATTATTTGCACCAAAATATAACTATTCATCCTACCTTACCCAAACTTTTCGAACTGCCTGTGTGTTGTGTATTCCTTGCGAAGACAGAGTGGCAAAGCAGCGGAGCGGTGGATAGCTAGGCTAGTCGGCTCATCCAGAGGCCCTTGTTTTAGTAGCTGCTCTGCCTGTCCGCGCCTTCACTCCTCTGTTTGGCTGGGCGGTGGTAGAAAGGGTGAACTTGTTCTCGTAGCTGTAGGTTACATGTGGCTATGCCTTTGGCTGGGTTAGGAGTTGATCCCTACAACTGACAAGCATTTGATGTCTGCTGAAAGTTGGTGGGTTCCTGCCTACAGAAATAGCCCATAGCTTCCCTGGATGCTGTTCACTCTGTGTGGAAGAAGCTGGCTTTTAGAGCGCTCAGGTGTGTTCATAAGAGACTGAGACACTTGTCTCTGCAAAGACAGAATGCACTTGCAGTGGAAGGAGTCAAAAAGCCAGACTTCTGTGAGAGTCCTTTTTTTAAATTGGAAAGTCAGATATAAAGAGGAGGAGATAAAAAAAGATCTTCCCTCTGCTGGTTCACTCCCAAGTGACCACAGCAGCCAGAGCCGACTGATCTGAAGCCAGGAGCTTCTTCCGGGTCTCTCACGCAGGTGCAGGGTCCCACGGCCTTGGACCATCCTCCACTGCTTTCCCAGGTACAGACAGGGAGCTGGATGGGAAGTGGAGCAGCTTAACGGGGCTGTGAACCAATCACTTTGCATCATCGTCCTCCCACACACAGCTCTTGAATGAGGTGTTTAGTCTGCTTTATCAAGGACATCATTAAACACTCTTATCAGGAAAATGCAGCACTTTTTTTTTACAATGTAGTAGAACTTTGCATATTTTAGATTCTTACTAACATGATGTGCTTTTCTCTCACTGCTTAAAATTCTTTGGCTTTTGGTATACTAAAAAGATAAAGCATGGAAAAAGCCATTATAGCATCTTTAGCTTTCCCGCTTCTCACAGACTGAAGTCAACTGGTTGAGATTGAGAAAGAAACTGAAGCAATCAACTTAAACTAGATATGCAATTTTCTGATTTTACAGTCATTTAAACATCAAATAGAAGTAAACTTTTTGCTCAGCTACAGTGCAGAGTAGGATTTTTTGTTGTTGTAGTCAGTTCCATAGTTACCATGTTATCGATTTGGCAGCTTCAAGAATTGGTCTTGAAATGTAGTTGGCTTTAAAAAAATTTTTCAGTTTTCTAGGAGGATTGCCATTTTTCTTCTGTCATCTTCTATATTTGTGCTTCAAGTTCTTATACTTATGGGTCAGTTTCCAATTTCTGTCTATTCCAAATTCTGTTCGTCTTCTGGCAGCTTCCTTGATTGTTTTTTTCTGTTTATTTCTGGTGGATGTTTGAAACATTTGCTTGAGTTGTTCATTAGACGGTGTGTGCCCAAGGCCCTGACCTCGTGGTCACGGCAATGTCTCCCAGCCCCTGTGGCTCGCTCACTGTTCTCTGAATGCTGGAGACCTGGCATTGCTTGCAAATCTACAAGATTGACAGGGCTTGCCTTTATATATAGTTAGTGTTCCATTTTTATTTACTTATCAAAAATTTACTTATTTTTATTGGAAAGGCTGATCTACAGAGCATGATGGCTCAGTGGCTGAATCCTTGCCCTGAACATGCCAAGATCCCAGCTGGGCATGGTTGGGGTCCTGACTGCTCTACTCTCATCCAGCTCCCTGTTTGTGTCCTGGGAAAGCAAGGCCTTCTGACCCTGCACCTGCGTGGGAGACCTGCACGAAGCTCTTGGCTCTTGGCTTTGCATCAGCTCAGCTCCTGCTATTTCGGTCACTTAGGGAGTGAACCAGGCAACAGAGGATCTTTCTGTCTCTCCTCTCTATAAATCTCTTTCCAATAAAAATAAATAGATGTTTCAGGAAAAAAATGTTTTAAAACAAAGTTTTGGTAAATCTTATATTTAAACATCATTTATTGACACACCTGATTTGGCATATGGCACTGAGAATTGCAGTAATTTCAATGTGAAAGTTAAAATTTTTTTTTCATCTGTGTATATTCCAGCATATTCTAGAAGCTGTCAGGTGGGTCATAGGATAATGTGGCTACTTTTTGTCTTTACTGCATTTCTAATATATGTATTTTTTGAGACGGGAAGTGAGCTCTTGACAACTGAGTCAGTCTCCAGATGCCCACAGTGGCCTCTGCAGGAACCAAAGCCAGGAACCAGGAGTTTAACCCAGGTCTCCCCTGAAGTCACAGGAACCTGTGGACTTGACTCATCACCACAGGCTGTTTCCCAGGATTCCCGTTAGCAGGAAACTGGAGCTGGGAGCTGGAGGTAGGATGGGACCTAGGTACCGTGACATGGAAATGTGCATCCGTCCACGCAGGCCCAGGACCACCCTGGACACCGACAGTCACAGTGGACCCTACTACCAAGTAGGAACATGCCTTCCTCCCCGTCCTCTTCCAACTCGGGTACGCTTGCAGCAGCACCTGGACGATCACCCCTCTATAGTTAAGTGGCATTGGTTAGACAATGAATGCCCAGATGACATTCTGCAGGCAGACCTTGCCCCGACCCAGTGATAGTTTTGTGGTGCTGTGTCTCCCGGTCTCTTCTGGGGCACAACTCGGTCATATTTTCCTCCGCTGGAAACCAAACAGCCTTGCCTTTTGAATTTGCTGTTTACAAAACTCTTACCTTCCTTTGAAGGTTGTGCTGAAAAATCCTTCGTTCTGAATTCCTTCTGTAACCTTGAGACCCAGAACATTTGCTGTATTGAACCCATTTTTGAAATGGCCTTGG